CGATATGTTGTTTAACCTATCCTAGGAGTGTTCAATTCATAAAATATGAAGAGCGAAATACAAATGCAGAGGATGAAGAGTTGTAACTCGGATTTTCAAGAACTAACGGATCATCAGACTTAAAGTTCTATATTAACAGATTTGTTTCTGATGCAAAAATATCGCTCACGCTCCTACAAAAACAACTTTCCTTTATTCTCACCTCGACCGCGTCTTCACCAAAGCTAAGCACTTATTGTTTTTCATTTCTTTTCTCTCGGTATACATTTCTGTTTTAATTTTCCCTGTTATTAACCTTGTTAATTGCCTCTTATTATAGAAAAAAAACGTCTCGGCCTTTCAGTTAATTTTATTAAAATAACATTCAGAGTCACAACAAAAGGAAAGACTTTATGTGGTGCGACGCGCCCTTTTGCTTCGCCTTGCATGGTTTCACTGATCTGTGTTCACCAACCTAGCACATGAAAACGCCCCCCAAAAATTTAGTTTTTCCTAAATGCCTTTCTCATGGTCCTCCCTAAACGTTAAGATTAAGAAGCCTTAAAATATTTAATTTTGCCTTACTTCAGGTCTGACCCAAGCTGTCTGTTGTGGTTCTTTAGCGTATCTATGGATTACCTTCGTGGAGCTTTAGGTAATAACAGTTTATGTCATCTATAGTTACAGTCAATTATTTTCGAAGCATTCTTAGTTTCCAATCTTTACCAGTTTATTATGGACAAACTAGGACTCAAGTTCACCTCACTGTTATAAAAAGAACAAATCTAAATGAGCTTCGATCTTTTACAAGTATACTTAATTAGATATGCAAATATATTTCAGTTGAATTCAGTAGAACTGTACATGGTTTTCAGGGTGTTTCTTTGAATAGTATATTAGGGATGTTTAAGACCCATTTTTGCACAGGAATCTCATTAAATTGCACAGAAATATACCAACGCCGATGACGTCATATCCTTTTCATCCCACGTGTGGGGTCGTGTGGGGTCTATGTATTGTCGATGTGTGTTCGATAAAGCGTCGATAATGGAGGAGGAGGGAAAAAGAAAATATCGTTAATGTAAATTCCTGCTCAAGTTAATGAGATTCCTGCACAAAAAAGGGTCTAAAACATTTCTACTATACTACTAACATGAGGTTTCTTCCTAGGCTAGTACGAGGTAACCTACGAGTAAGTTATCTGAGCGCAAAGGGTCTAAATTAATGATAATAAAATAATAATGACCAATATTTTGACAGGATGACCTCTTCAGTCACAAGACAAAGAGAATCATGGGGTTATTTTGAATACAGTGTAAAACCACGTTTGCCAATCTTCCTCTTCTCTGTTCCCTGAAAAAGACTTTTGATGGAGTTAATCGATACATTTGACTCGTAGTTCATTGGTTCTGGTATGATTCTGGAAAATGTTATCATGGTTACCACTGAACTGAAAACTAAACTCACTCAACATCAGCTGCTTGTTAAAATTTTTGTTCTTTACTTTTGCACCAATATAGATTGTTACTGTCATCCCTTGGGATCCAACAGTTCAGTTTGTGAGTCATATGGTGGCCAGTGCCCCTGTAAACCCGGGGTAGAAGGGCGTGACTGTAGTAGATGTAAACCAGGTTTTTACAATCTGACGGCTACCGGATGCACCCGTAAGTTTACCATGCTTAAATTCATCGTGGACCCAAATCATTTCGTTAAGCATCAATCTCAGATGAATACTACCGACTTGCACCAAATTCAAAACAAGGATAAAGTATTTTAAACCTAGTGATATTTTTCATACAGCCATTGCTTCATTCAATCTACACAAGGGTCTAATAAAAACACAATTTTTTTAATTTTTAAAACTAAACTAGTGGGCAGCACTCTGCGAACTGTCGCTGTAAAACTTGTTTATTCTCCTACGCGTTTCGTTTAACTAACGTAGACTTCTTCAGGGAGTTTTACAATCAAATACTAAACGCCTGTATTTAAGCCATAATATGGGCCACGGTTTTAGCTGAAACGTACTTACAAAGATTAGCTAATGTAACAGTAGCTTTGCAACATACGGTACAGTTTATTTCTGGCATAATCCTGTTGATTACATTCCTAATACGTGTTTGACTTCAATTAAAAGTAGTATTGAATACAGTAGCCTGCTGAGACCTATTGTTAGCTTTCTGCAAAAGCCACTTCTTCTTTTTCGAAAGTTTTCTCCCTTTTTTTATGTTTTGTGTTTGGTGTTTCTTTAAGTGCAAAAAGTCCCAAGTACAGTTCTTGCATGAAAATGAATTCTCTGTGATGTCTCAATTTTAGATTCATCCGGGAACCTAAGACTTCAACCGTTTAAACGTTAGGTAACAATAATTGATAATTCTTTGTTCATTGTTTTTAGCTTGTGGATGTAACGGAGCAAAAAATATTTGTGATGTGACGACAGGCATGTGCGAATGTCCAGAGAACACAGTGGGTCGAACATGTCAACCATGTCAGTGTAATAACAATACAAACAAATGTCTGAGGTCAGGAGAATGTATTGACTGCCAGTATAATACTACTGGATATTTTTGCCAGCACTGTGCTAATGGAACGTTTGGAAATGCGCGTATCCAGCAATGCAACGGTATGGTTTATTATTATTATCAGACAATGTCCACGTTCTGAGTAAAGATGCATGTTACATATCTATGGAAGTTATGAAATGCTCAACAGCGAACGCTCAGTTCTGAAACCTGGTTGGAATTTCACACTTTCATAAACTGGCCTCACAGTTGTGATTAGGCGTTCAACAGAACAAGCCACGTATGATAAATCCTTGCAGCGATAAAAACAACAAATCTTAATTTTGACACCCTGTTTTCTTGACTCTTGTTTCAGTTTCGTTCTTTTAGAAACGTAGTGTGTTCCGTGCGTACATTTGCACTTAAGATGTGGTTATTTTTTCACTCCTTTTTCAGCCTGTGCGTGTAATGAAGTTGGCTCCTTAGATCAGCAATGTCACAGAATCAGCGGTCAATGTAACTGTAAAAACAAAGTAACCGGAAGAGACTGCAGTCAATGCCAGGTTAGTAACAACTATTCCAAGTCAGTAATAACTCGTTACAACCATCTGTTCATATTGTTCAATTATAGTCTAGGTTTTGATATCATTTATTTCTCAAAAGAACAACACCTTTGATCTGGGTCCCGCTGGATGTAGAGACTGCGAGTGTAACCCTTTTGGTTCAGCAAGCTTACAATGTTCTTCAAGCGGTCAGTGCCCGTGTCAGGCCAACGTAACAGGATTTAAATGCACTCAATGTTCTCTGGGGTTCTACGGTCTTCCTATCATGTCATGCAGAGGTAGGACGACCTGAATACTTGTTTTTATTCCACATTTACTTTATAATGTATTGTACAATACCAAACAAGGTAAAGGGATTAACCTCGACTTTTAGACCATTCAGATTCATGATCGAAATTAAACACCATTATTTATCTTTGCTTCTTTATTAAAGATCTTCACCATTTTTGACATTTTTCAATTTTCAGAATGCAATTGCAGCACAGTTGGATCCATTCCTGGTACACTGTGTATGAACGATACCGCTGGACAGTGTCAATGTAAAACTGGTGTGACTGGAAGGTCATGTGACCAATGCAAGAAGTATTTTACAAATTTCTCGGACTCTGGTTGCTCAGGTAATTTGGAACTAACAATTGTAGGTAAATAACCTTCATCCAATGCCCCCAGAATCAAAAAGGGTGAGGATTGAAATATAGCAAGTGCCGAGTTTGGGTGGGTATTTTGTTCTCTAAATGTTAAAGCCATTCGACAATTTATCTTCTCTTTATTGAGCATGCGTAGCGTATCTACCTAAGCCGCCTACTTAACCCGCCTACAGTAGCTGGCTCTTTGTCTACAATGAAGTTGGTTCCTGTTGTGACCGTTTGTCACGGTATGATTTCAACATCTCTAAACATGATTCAACCAATGTTGAGACAATGTTGGGAACACTGTTGATCACGTTACAATTTAATTTTAGTTAAAAAACATAAAGAGTATAAATAAATAAAATTTCGTTCTTTCTAATTTGCAATCACAGAATGTTCCCCGTGTATACAGAACTTAAGACAGACGATCATCAACACGACAGATGACGCAAATAGGACGGAAATGGAGATTCAGGCACTGAAAGACCTAACAGATTTCAATGCGCCACTGGCAGAAACATCCACCCTTCTGGAACAAGCCAAGGTTTGATTCTCTCACAGTAAAATGCAAAACTAAGATTTCTATTTTTATGAACATGACTGTTGGCAAATAAGCTAACATGGATTTATAATTTCAGGTTGAAAGAGAACGGTTCTATTCAAGAACTACTTCTGGAAATCAAGTTTTTCAAGACCTCGTGTCGGCAAAAATCCCGAAAACAAACGAGAGTCTTCTAGAACTTTCTACTAGGGTAAGTTCAATTGGAATGTGCAGTGAGTCAAAAACTCCCAACTTTCGAATTGCCCATAATGCTCTTTGATTGTCCTCAATAACTTAGTATTTAGTTTGTCTTGGAGCTTGCAATCATGCCTTAAGAAACTGTAAATAATTTTAAAACTTGTGCAAACACGGGGGGGTGGGGAGAGGGGTAGTCAGATTCCCATGTGGAGGCGAAGAAATGACAAATAAAAATTACTGCAAGACAACGTTCATAAAAATTCAGTTGGAGCTCAATTCATCGCTGCAACCGACCAGGTCGCAAGTTTATGCCATACCTATGTAAAATGATTTAGTGATTTGCAGTAAAGGCACTTGGTTCACACAGGAACGAAGGTCAGGGGACGTTTCTGGGAAAATACAACCAGGTTCTATGGTAGGGCAAGAACGGAGCGGGTGTTTGTTATACCTTATGTTGTGACCGTAAGCACGGATTGTGTGAATTAAATAAAGAAAATATTACATTGTATAATTTATTCTTATATTACAGGCTTCAAATCTTAGTAGTTTTTCAAACACTGCTGCCAATAACACCACTGATATTCTAGAAGAAATGAGAGAAGGAAAACAAAGAACAATATCTGCCCGTGATTACGTTAGTGGTGAGTTATTTATCCTTCGTTCCTGTTACCCTGAGCTTTTCTTAGCATCACCTCTGTTAAACAGAATAACTTGTAAAGTGAATGGTGAAAAAATACTGTATAATTCTGATCATTTAACAAGATGTAGACCAAAATGATTGTTTGCATTTGTGAATTCATCTGCTTTTTCCCACTTAAAGTAGTGCGACTCTTGACTGAATGCTTCCGCAAAAAGTTAAAACTTTGTTACCTTTGTGCTGCAGTTGTGAATGAGTTAGTTAGAGATGTACTAGCTGCTATCAATGAGCACTTTGCCGCCGCATCTCAAGATTTAACGGATTCAGCAGAGGTTTTGAGCTTAACAAGAGAAAGAAACTTCAGTCAGTATACAACGAACATAACTAACATAACCCATCTTGCTGAAAACGCGTCTACCTACGCAAAGGAAACGTTGAAAAAGGTATGAATTGTAAAAGTTAGAAAGAAACTATTGGAATTTAGCAGATTTGTTTCTCCAGGCAACTTTTAAGCCGTCTACAGGCACATGCTTACCTAAGCACCTTCGGTTCCTTAACTACTATATTATTGACTAAATATCAGTGTCCGAATGGAGATGGAAATATAGAAATACCACATTTTTCGATAGTTTCATCCTTTTCATCGTTTCTAAGACCTTAGACTGAAGATCCTGAACAGATCCTTGTTGCTGACATTTGTCCTTCAGGTCTTTTCTCAGTTATTTCTTGCCCATGAGCTTGGTGCCTCAGTCGAGATAAGAGCCGCTAATTTCACCGAGATTCAAGCAGCTTGGAACCAATCACATACACAGTTCCTAAATACAATGGAACAAGTCTATAACCACTCACACGAGATCCAAGCAATACTTATGGAGACCAAGGTATGGCGCCATCTTGAAAACGGCCTTGTTTTTACTTCCTTTAAAATGAATACGTTTCTTTGTTGTTGTCATTTTTCTAACCTTTCCCACGTCCTTTCTATTGGCCTCATCTAACTGTGAGTCATAGAAGCATTATGAGAAATATTCTTTGATTTTATTCTTTATGTTGTCTTTCTTAGAGACTCGTGGATCAAGAATTGCTGACTTTAAACAGAACTGAGTCTTCGTTGTTAAAAACAAACACCACATTAATTAACACATGGAATGTTCTTAAGGAGGGCACATTACTACTTGAGGTAACTAAAGGACCCCCTCTTTGATACTTCACAGTTGTGTGGGACTTTTAACGCAAGATTTTCACCTGAAGAAAAAGATTCTTAGTTTATTGATTCAAAATGAGAGTCCAACTTCTTTTTACTGTGTTGAGATCGGACCATCTGTCGCCAATCAGGGAATAGTTACAAAAACTTGATACTCAGACGGTGTGTCCAGGTTTGTCCATCTCTCTCGCTGTACCCATTTGTGTGCATGAAGAGGAACATGGCGACTACACTGACTTGAACCGTTATGCAGAAAATTATACTTTGACATTCAAGGCCACTGACAATGTTCTTGATGTTGAAATTGTTTACCGACTCTCCCGAGTTGTTCTTTAAGGCCGCCAGAGAGGTAAAAAGATCATCAGGTAGAAGAGAAAAGAAACAAAGCAAAAACAGAGATAAGAATGCTTACGTCTGTTTTTTTTTTGTAGCAATACCGCCGCACAATACTGTTTGTAAGTGGAGAATTGGAGATTTCTATGCTGAGATACGAACTCGAAAAAACAAAGTTTGTTGTGCGGGTGATGAGGGGACGTAATCTGCCTGCCAGAGACTCTCCTGCCCACACCTCAGATCCTTACGTTGTGATATCAACTATTCCTGATTGGAATAACGAGGGAACTATGAGGACTTCCCCAGTTTACGGTGCGGTTCACTGATGTTTAAGTAATAATTTTAATTAAACATATCAACAGCCCCAAAGCTAACAAATAGACACACGACTCATTATAGGGCTTCGATTCTGTTGAATTTGAAATAACTGTAATCAATCACTATTCTCTTATTAGACACTGCAGTTCTACTTGAGAAAGGTAACTATTTTTTTGAATTCAGCAGAGGTTTTGAGCTTAACAAGAGAAAGAAACTTCAGTCAGTATACAACGAACATAACTAACATAACCCATCTTGCTGAAAACGCGTCTACCTACGCAAAGGAAACGTTGAAAAAGGTATGAATTGTGAAAGTTAGAAAGAAATTATTGGAGTTTAGCAGATTTGTTTCTCCAGGCAACTTTTAAGCCGTCTACAGACACATGCTAACCGAAGCACCTTCGGTTCCTTAACTACCATATTATTGACTAAATATCAATGTCCGAATGGAGATGGAAATATAGAAATACCACATTTTTCGATAGTTTTATCCTTTTCATCGTTTCTAAGATCTTAGACTGAAGATTCTGAACAGATCCTTGTTGCTGACACTTGTCCTTCAGGTCTTTTCTCAGTTATTTCTTGCCCATGAGCTTGGTGCTTCAGTCGAGATAAGAGCCGCTAATTTCACCGAGATTCAAGCGGCCTGGAACCAATCACATACACAGTTCCTGAATACAATGGAACAAGTCTATAACCACTCACACGAGATACAAACAATACTTATGGAGACCAAGGTATGGTGCCATCTTAAACAAAAACGGCCTTGTTTTTACTTTCTTTTAAATGAATACGTTTCTTTCTTGTTGTCATTTTTCTAACCTTTCCCACGTACTCTTTATTGGCCTCATCTAACTGTGAGTCATAAAAGCATTATGAGAAATATTCTTTGATTTTATTCTTTATGTTGTATTTGTTAGAGACTCGTGGATGAAGAATTGCTGACTTTAAACAGAACTGAGACTTCGTTGTTAAAAACAAACGCCACATTAATTAACACATGGAATGTTCTTAAGGAAGGCACATTACTACTTGAGGTAACTAAAGGACCTTCTTTTTAATACTTCACAGTTGTGACGGACTTTTAACGCAAGATTTTTCACCTGAAGAAAAAGATTCTTAGTTTATTGATTCAAAATGAGAGTCCAACTTTTTTTTACTCGATCGGACCATCTGTCGCCAGTCAGGGAATAGTTACAAAAACTTGATACTCAGACACTGTGTCCAGGTTTGTCCATCTCTCTCGCTGTACCTATTTCTGTGCATGAAGAGGAACATGGCGACTACACTGACTTGAACCGGTATGGAGAAAATTATACTTTGACATTCAAGGCCACTGAAAATGTTATTGTTGTTGAAATTGTTTACCGGCTCTCCCGAGTTGTCCTTCAAGGCCGCTAGAAAGGTAAAAAGATTATCAGGTAGAAGAGAAAAGAAATAAAGCAACAACAGAGATAAGAATGCTTACGTCTGTTTTGTTTGTAGAAATACCGCCGCACAATACTGTTTGTAAGTGGAGAATTGGAGATTTCTATGCTGAGATACGAACTCGAAAGAACAAAGTTTGTTGTGCGGGTGATGAAAGGACGTAATCTGCCCGTCAGAGACTCTCCTGCCAAGACCTCAGATCCTTACGTTGTGATATCAACTATTCCTGATTGGAATAACGAGGGAACTATGAGGACTTCCCCAGTTAAAGGTGCGGTTCACTGATGTTTAGGTAATAATTTTAATTAAACATATCAACAGCCCCAAAGCTAACAAATATACACACGACTCATTATAGGGCTTCGATTCTGTTGAATTTGAAATAACTGTAATCAATCACTATTCTCTTATTAGACACTGCAGTTCTACTTGAGAAAGGTAACTATTTTTTTGAAAAATGATTAGCGATTGAGGGGGGGTCATCATTGAAAACTGGTTTTAAACAAGTTGGTTTAGATCTGTAACGTCACTTCTCCCACCAGAGCAATTCATTCGGAACAAACATTGTATCTGCTATATCTACTTCCCTTATTTTGCAGGAAACGTAAACCCGGTATTCCCATTTGAGCTATTCAGCTTTACTATTTCTATGGAGCAATTGAATTACACGAAGGTGAGACTGGCCGTGTATGATCATGACCCTGGTGACGAGGATGATTTCTTGGGTGTGGTGTTTATTGATTTGGCCACCGCTGGAGACTTCTTCAATAGTGTGATCACTAAATGGTACCCGCTGCTACCTCAGGTAAAATATAAAAGAAAATTTACAAAGTTACAACGAAAAGAAATAAAACCGACAATCACGGCATTAGTATATATTCCCATATGAATGTTTTGTTTACTTTATCTTATATCCTGGGCAAGTATCTTAGCGTTCTCAGTTACAGTTTTTGGTGAAAAGTCTTGTTGCTTGAGATGATATTCACAAGAGCTGCTGCTTTTTTATAAACTCCTGACTCGAAGTGTAATCGGCGCTTCGTTGGTTGATAATTCTGTGTCCACTTCTATTTCAAGCGGCAACTTAAGCTTGACAGCGTCACTGCAGTAATACACTGGTAAGCGTAACCTTTTGAGCGCTCAAAAAACCAATCTTTTTCAGGACCTATCTCAAATCGATAGCGGGAATTTTGTATCGTCGAGTGGACTTACAGATGTGACAAACGTACTCGAAAAAGAAATCAGGAAAATGCAAATGAAGTTGGGTCTTTCTGATATTAGTTTACAGCAAGCTCAAAATCAAGCATCGTACCTGGAATCACTCGCTTATCAAATGGAACTGTGAGTACATTACAAAAAGCAACTGAATTCTTTTTGGTATGTGGGGTGTATACTTAGAAATAACTGGTCCCATTGGGCTGGCGTACCTTTCAACCAGCCTTAATAGGCAATACACTTCTTGTTTAAGAAGATCTCTCCGCCAAATCATTTGCGGGTTAAAGTGCTAAGCTCTCCTAACAGGATTGTAGCTTAGGATATTAGTGGCTGCATTTTTCAAAATTTGTTATTCTTTTTCCTTTCTTGATGGACTTTTCCTGTTATTTATTCAAAGGACATTTAACAGCAGTCGTGCTCAGGGTTCTTTACCGTTACTGGCAATCGACAGATATTCTGAAATAGAAGAACTTGTCAACAGATCGCTAGATCTTGTTGAACTAGCCAACATTACTATTAGCAGCATAACTAAAAAGGTAAAAGGAAACAAACCTCAATAAATATAATGATATAATCATAATGAATGATTTTCCCTTAAAATTGTTGACGATATTTTCTTTACTGACTCGGTTTTGATTTTTACCCTTTTTTAATAGCTCAGTGTGATTTCACTGGCCGATTTGAAACACAACGCTGAAATGGCCTGGTCAAGTCTACGTGACCTTTACAACGTCACACTTGAAAGAAACTCTACTGCACATGGTGAGTTAATATCAATATGCTTGAAAAATTTACTTACATTGGTGAAACCAACAGAAACCTTAGCACGTGACTGACCGAACACAAACGAGCGACAAGGAATGGTGACGTCAACAATCACATTGCTGAACACCATTTACAGACGAAACATCGAATCGACTGGGATTCTGAGACATGTATTACGTATTCTACAGACTACTATCAACGACTTACTTTAGAAAGTTGGTTTACTAACTTAGAACAAACGCCATTGAATCGTAGCCAACAGTTACCAGCACCGTACAAACGACTTATTGACGAGATCAAGAAAAACTAACTACGAGAGAACGACTGGAGAACTGACAATTTAACTAACAATAAACGACTGTTTAACTGTGCCAATAGACGTATCGAAACGCACCAATTACTGATTACGAGTCTTCATAGCCAATACCATTACGGCTTAACTGACAGACGACCACGTGACACAACTCACTTTGACTCTGAAGATGTCTACCGCACAGGTTGTCGAAACGTCAGTCACTGTCAACAACAGTCCTATTCTGGACTACTATCACTCGGACGATCAAACAACCTACTTTTGAAATGACTCCTGGGTTCAACCCTTTCACAATGCTTACATAAATAAAGGAACTGCAATAGGCTGTCTCAATCTTCCTCATGTTGCCTTTTCGTGGGCTTTGCAATGATAGGAAGAGCCGATGACAGAAATTTCCTAGACCAGCGTCTCGCTCTTCAATTCTCTCAATCCGAAGCAAATATCGCTTAACGTCAACCCATTTCCCGACGACTTTTAGAGTACTGAATAATCAGCACTCAAGTCAAAGAATCCGGTTTTTTTGAAGTAAGTCTTGCGCTGTAAAGTTCGAATGAATCATAGTTGAGGCTACCACCAGAACATGGCGAGCTATCTCTGATTTTTTGTGTCAAGCGTTTCGTTCTCAGAACAAAATACTTGCGCTAGAGATAAGAAGGCTTGGTGTTTTTTCTTTTTAATTTAGGAAAAATGGATACAAATAAAAAAAGGTTGTTGAATAGTTGAGAAAATACTTAAAAGTTTGCAGACATGAAAACTTGAACGTATAAAAAGAGAGGTATATTTCTTAATTTCCAGGTCTGGAAAAGGACATTTACGAAGCAAATACAACGTTCTTGAATTCCCTTGCCTTGTGGAATGAAATATATGACAAGTTTCCTGTCATTCAGAATGCGGCTGTAAGGTTGCAAGCGTCTGCGAGCGGCGGTGAGTTAATTGAAAAAAGTGATATGTGATACATGATATGTAAACGGACGGGTAATTTTCGGATACATAGGGTTAGAGAGCTACCATTACAAAATTGTTCCTACATTTAAATTCTTAATGAAAGGTGTCTTCTTGATTTCTGAATCTTTAACCAGTCTTCATAAATGTGTATCCCGCTTTGCTCCTCATTGTAGCTCCAGATGTGATTCCTTTTCTAATGGATGCACGGAATGAAGTACAAAATGCAAGCTTGATGTTGACTGGCCTGGAATTGCATCTCAGTAATATGCAACAACTGATTGAACTATTGTTACGAAAAACGACTGCTATTAAGAACAATTCCGACAACGGGATAATGATGATGAACAACGCTTTGGTTAATGGTAAGTAACTTACTCACGGAACTTAATTGTTCAGTCTCTAAATACAAATGTCAGTGAAATGTTGTGGCACTTGCTCACTTCACTTAGCTGTCTATTACTTCTGCCACTGCTTTTGCTACTACTACTGTTACCATGGAACCATTGACAGTAATACCAGTTATACCAGTACTGCCATTTACACTAATTTCATCACAATACGGTGCAAAAAAGATATTGACAAAGTTGGCGTGCATTGACTGCGCTATTGTCAACTGAATGTTCACTGTTTTTTTTTATCACCGACGTTGCTTAATGTACATTTTTAAGAGATGGTCAATTCATAATTCTATGTCATAATTCACGTTTTATTCTAGTACAAAATATCACAACAAGGCTGACCCCAAATCCAGATGAGCCTCCTGTCAATGTCACAGTACGAGAGGCTACAGTAGTTATGACCTCACTTCCGCCGCTTCGACAACGGATAGAAAGCCACATGGAGAACGCGTCAAATAAACTAAACCAGATAAGAGGAATGGTCGCTTCCATTCCCCTTGCCCTTCATCTGACAAATGATTCTTCAATTACATTTGTTCCTTCGAGGCGCACTATCGAGTCGCCCTCTATAAATGAGATTTCGTTTGATATTAAGACCAATATCAGCGATGGAATATTGCTCTATGTTGTTGGTGATCAAGACAATGGACCTAATGAGCGCTCAAATGAGCTGGTGAGTGGTGTTTGTTATTAAGTGTTATTTCTGCAATAACACAGTCCTGAGATCATTCATGACGTAAAACATAGTTTAAGAACCTCAGATTAGACCATCATCACTCTAAACCGTACCATAGGTGATAAGAACAAGCTGAAACACAAGTTAACTGAAAATTTTGAAAGGTCCGCCTCTTTAAGCCCTATACTGTATCTTCCATCTTTGGAAGGAAGACTGCAACTACTAATGGCCTTGCTTTAAGAGGGTCTCTCTTGACTTGCTCACGAAAATAAAAGTCTCAGGTCCCATAAATGGATTATTTTGCACACCTAAATTATGTGTTATGGACTTTACCACTTTGTTTTTCAATTCTCTCTCAGTATTCCTGCCGTTAGGGTAAGTTTATTAGGTCTTTTAGTATACCACACCAAGTAAAATCTTACTAGAACTATTTTTTCTTAGACAAACAGCCTTGGCTTCTACATATCTAACAGTCTTGTCCACGCCGTTTTTAACCTCGGTGACGGTCCAACTGTGGCTCAGAATTCCTTGGAACTTAAGAATGACACTTGGTACAATGTTTACTTTACCAGGTATAACTGTTTCTAGAAAAACTTGCCCCATCTTTGAACTCTTACATCAAGGATGTTTATCAACGACTTTTTTTCTCATTATACTCTTAAAAGGAAATTAAATAGTAATTTACTGGAAGAATAGAGTTTGTTGGGAAACATAAAGCGCGTTACGCAACACAACGTGCCTTACCCTAAACATAGTAATGGAAACCTTGATCGCGTGTATTTTTAAAGAGATAAGGAATGTATTAAGTTGACAAGTTAATTGCTTTTGAATGTTACGTGCGTGATGTGATAAGAATATGACACATAGATATCTTATAACAAAAATGCCAAGACTGTGTATAAGAAAAGAGAGTTGTTATGATTAGGCAGAATGAATTAATGAATGTACGGTGTAGTGAACGAGGATCGTTGCTGGGAATAAAGATATACAGTCCAAGTTCCGAGTGTTTGATTGAGTGTGTGGATATTCCCGAACAGAGTTCGCAGTTATTGAGACCTAAAAATTACGCAAAATTAAAGATGCCTCGGTACTGAACACTTAAATTGAGAGGGATGATTTGTCTCCTATCTCCTCTAAGTTATTTCTAAGTAATATCAACCAAAAGTGATATTCAATGCTAAAAATAGTGCGTGTGTGTGTGTGATAAATATTCATGCAGATTTGGTGCTGAGGGATTCTTAACTGTCAGCGGAGACTCAGAGAGAAGTGAAACATTTAGGGTGAATGGCTCCTCCAACAACGAAGACAAAAAACTGAAGCTTACAAACCAAAGTGTTATTTACGTTGGTGGATTGCCTGCTGATCTCAAGGTACTGCTAAATAGAGAAACCGCTGAACAAAAGGAAGCTTTTCTGTTTTCGTTCCCAGTAAAAGTAATCATTAGTGATAACTGATACTGATACTGCCAGCTTTTAAATAAAATGAAAAAATGTGTATCATCTCAAATTGATAAATTAGCTATGATAACATATTATACCAGTGTCGGTTATCTTCCTGTACTGTGCCTTTAAGTCGAAGCAACACATTTGATAAAACAGACGATTAAGATCAACAACCCCCTTCCTTATTAAATCACAATTGAACCCTTGGCTAAATTAAGTGTCACGTCTTGAATCATATTTTATTTTAACTGAAGTTCTTTGTTGTTTCAGGAATCCCTACAGGTCTCCAATTATTTCAAAGGAATCATCGATAACTTGATTATAGATAGCATTCGGTACAACCTCTGGAATCCAAAACAAGCTTATGGTGACGGCAGACTGTATGCAGTTTCTCGCCATAGAAGGCCGTTTTATCCACAGAACGGAAAGGCCGTTAGTTTCTATAGTAACGGTTACATTCAACATGCACTGGGTCCATTTAATAATAGCATGGGATATACTGAGGTGGAAGTGGAGTTCAGGACATTGCATCAAAATGGGATCATCATGGCAGTCTCAAATAAGCAACAGAAATATGTATTCGTTATCTACCTTCAACATGGACGTGTTTATTTCTACTTTCAAACTGGACAAAGTGATACCGGGATCACTCTAGAAAGTGTAAGGTAAACAAACCTTTACTGCTAAAAAAGGAACTCACACTGACTTACACGGAAATTTAATTAACTCATCGAAAGTCAAAATTATTAATTTGAAAGCTTTCATTTTATTCCTTGAAGGGTTGGAAAAAATTCCCACCTATTCTGGCCTATAAGAAATTAATCAGATGGGTTGGCTATTAAGGTAACATGTATCAATACTGCAGTTACAAATTCCTTCACTTTAACTTTCGGTAATACTCTGTTTTCAGGTCTTCGTATGGAGATGGCCGATGGTATCAGGTTCGTGTCATTCGCACGTCTGTTAATGCGACGCTGGCGGTGAATCTAGTCGGCTCAAGGGAGACTCCAGATGGTCGCTTTGTCGACAATGGTATCACAGCATTTGAGAGTGGACATGAGATCACTTTTGGGGATCTTCACCCAAACAGGCCAAACAGGTTTTATTTTATATCCCTAGACTGTCTATTAAAAAATGTTGATTAAGGGCCGCACGGCTCTAAAACACGTTACCACCTAAGACGTCTTAGGTTTCCTGGCGAAAGTTTCTTATTAGCAATTTGTTGGCTCCATTGAAAGTGCAAATCAGAAACCAGCTTTACCCTTCGTAAATTAGTTCTCTTGATAGGCATTGATTCTTATGCAGCGCTTATCTTAAAACATGGTGTTGTCGCAAAAGGAGTCTTAGGTCCAGTAGGTTTACTAATGTTTGTTAAAAATCAATTTTTCAGCGGCAGGCCCTTTTCAACAACCGACCCCTTTTCTGGTGACATGAACAATTTACGGTTGTTTAGCGAGGAAACTGCTTCTCTGGTTTCTCGAACCTTCAACGACGCAGCGCTAATGACTGCAAAACAAGGAGTTTCTTTTAGTGGAGTTATAAAAGGACCGGTGAGTAAATAGTTATCGAACGATTTGACATCATGATAGCACAATAAGCTGGTGTTATTAACGGAGTTCAGCGCTAGCGATTAAAAGGGAGCGAAACAGTCCGTTTCCCTACAAAATAAACTTGGTCGCATGTGAGCCTCATAGGAATTCAACGGAATACACATAGCAACACCCAAACTGGGAAGTAAACCACACTCGTCCAGCGTGCAAAGAATATCGTATGCGATAGCCCGGGGCTAGTGGATTTTGCTATCGGGCTAGTGAATTCTGTTCTTAACTTGCCCGAGGGGCAAGTGAGATTTTTGAGGAATTCAAATTACAGAAGATTTGTGAAATCACTTTTGCTTACACAAAAGTTTTTGGGGCTAGCTGAAATAACTTTTTGGCTGGTAAATGCTAATGTAGCTTCAGCTTGCTCGAATGGCAAGCCGTAAAAATGACTTTCTTTGCATCCTGTCTTCAAGTAGAGGCATTCAAGTTGTCCAAGTTGCCGTGGTAATATGTAAACGAAACTGACGTCACAACGAGGAGACCGTAGACTTGTGCTTATATTCTTCTACGAATAAAAAAGAATTCAGTGTTTGCCTGTCAAACGGGCGTTTTTCACTCAAAAATCACTTTCTCACTTGAGGTCTACAACGGGCCAATATAATGTTTTGTATGATATGGAGTTCAAGTGTTAGTTCTTGTTATTACGTTTACAGATTGAACATGGAACACGTTTCTATGGTTACCGAGAGGAAGTGGAAGAATGTTCGCATGCAAGTATTGATATAGGCAGTGAAACGGGGGATATGACTTCTTTGACATTCACCTTCAAGACCAGCGAGGAAAGCGGGGTACTGCTCTACAGCGGAAACGACGTGAGTCGCTTTGAACAAAATATAGGTTATTTGTCAGCATATAGTTTGTAAATTCCAGAGGACAGACGATTAGGCGTGCCATCAGTGGGCAAATGATTGAAAGGATAGTACATGGAAGGAAGAAAGAGTAGACAAAGAGATGAGTGACGAAAACGAAAGTTTATTCCGAATATCCTGCCAGTCCAAATGAAGCAAATTTTTACATACAAGAGGTATGTCTTTGAAACTAAGATGAAGGAGTCGGCGGGCAATATGATTATATAACCCGACACATTACCATCATAGGAACAGCTATGTCCAATTACCTTGTCATGGATTGTTTATCATTTCCATCACCATGGACACCACTTAAGTTATCAAATATATTTTGTATTTACAGGAATCACCAACGCTATATTTAACATTACTTCACGGAGACTTACTGCTATGGCTGGGTGATCTTAAATCCCCTGCGGTATTTTCTTCGTCAAATATCACCTTCTCTGATAATTCCTGGTATGTCCTCCGTCTTACCGCCGTGGAAAATAGGTAGGTTGACATCAACTTTGATTTCGGATAAAATAAATAATGCATCAAAACGAAATATGATTTATAAAGGGAATTATGAAAGAATAATTTTGTTGTCACACACAAATTGTGTCTCATTCTTGTGTCAAAGTTGCCTTAACATTGATATGTTTTTTTTTCTAATAGATACCTGCTATATGTGAATGATACGTTTCTTTATTCTGGTGTCTGGAACATTCCTGGGTCGACACTGACTCTTCGTAAGCCTTTCTACATGGGTGGTGTACCGAGAAACATGTCAGCTGTCTATGTTCCATTTGCACTTTGCTTTCAAGGAGGAATGAAAGACTTAGTTATTAATTCACGGTAAACTAACTTACAAGGCACCTGCTGTTTTATTTTGGTTAAGAAACAATGAGTAGTATTGTAGGGACCGTTTGCTCCTATTTCGCGGATATTTTGGGTGGTTTTATTTGCAGCATTCACTAATCGTTGTCAAGATTGACTGTTGAGTTTTAGTTGTTTTTAATCTATAAAATAAAAAATTTCAACAAAAATACGACGGCTATGCGCTTATGCTACAAATGAATCCACTCGCGTGTCAACTCGTATGTCTCACTGAACCTTTATCTAATTAACTAGACTGAATTTCTTTCCATAAGTTCAATCGTTCCAGTTCCACTGCACTTCAATTCAACCACCACCAGACCAGTGATGTTTCATGAAATACAAATTGGCGTGTATTTCATTGACAACCCTATGGCCTCATCGACGTTAAAGAAAAAGTTGCTTATATAGCAGGTCGATTTAAAGCATAACGGTACAGTGCATTTTTTGGTATTTATAGCGCTACATTGCACGCGTTTTCATTGATTACTAGTTAGTTTGTAATTATGAGAATAATTTCAATTAGTTACATTTGCATTTTCTGTTTGCTATCTTTAGCAATGTCAGTTTTTTCTCCGGACGCACAATCGGTGTATCGAGCGCTGGAGTAATTCCTGCCCGAGTACCTCCTCCTGTTCCTAAGACATGCAGTGCCTCACTTGATCCATCGACCTCATCCAACAATCCTAAAACAGTGCACTTTGGTCTCTTGGAAAGCAAAAGACAAAGCTACATTGGATTCAACTTGACTGGCGAACGAAATGCCGAGTTCAGTTCCGAGTAAATGAATTTGCTATATTCAACTGTTATTAATTTGCGCAGATTTTTTATTTAGACGATGATTTGAAACCCGGCGGCTACTATCTGTCATGGAAGCTAATTTAGTCTAAGCTTCGATGTCAAAGTGCAAACATGTCAGACCAGGTGGATCTCAAGGACAAGTCTTATCTATCTAAGCCTCAATGGTGAAGGAAGCTGTTCATTCTGAAATTCCCTAGACCTTTCAACCCTTGCTTTGCCAAGAGAGTGTGCTCGTAGGGTAGTGACAAAGTCGCAGAGAAACCTAACAAACAATTTGAAATAATAAATAACTACCCCTTCTGATGTCTCCGATATGTCGATGTTTAGACTTAAAAGTTAGGTTAATTATTATTAACAAATTTTTTCGCCGTTAAAACTTTCAATTTGATTTCTAGGTACTAACGATTTCTCGTGCATAATGATGCAAACAAACAAAATATCTTGCACTTATTGTAGTTTTAATGTTTTTCAGTTTTGTAGTTGGCTTGTACTTCCGAGCTCTTTCTGATGACGGCCTTCTTCTGTACGGTACTGATAATGACACACATCCAACTCAGTTCTTTTCACTGGAGCTCGTGCGTGGTCGATTAGTTTACAAATTTGACTCCGGTAGAGGGCTGGTATCAATGACTACTAAAGACAAGTACTCTGGTAAAGGTGTCTGGTACAGGGTATGTGGGCTTTCATTAACAGTACAACTTCGAAAATCGAAATTCGAAAATCGAAAGAGGTCAAGCAATTGCTGTCACTTACTCGTCAATTCATCGGTCACTTCATGTATACAACAATTATATTAGAATTTAGAGTAGCACTGGTCGCTAAGCTAGACAAATTTATGCAAATAAGATGTATACTTTAGGTGAACTGTAAGTACCAATCAAAAAGCCGAAAGGGTACTACTTGGGACAAATTCTTTAAACTGGCGGCCATTACATCACAAAATGTTCCATTCCCTAATTATTCGAGCTGGCTGTATTTAAAACCGACTATAATCCAATGAATACAGTGGCTGGATCAGTATAGTAGTCAATTGCCCTAGTACATGGAAAAGCCGGATCAGCAGAAAAGACTTAGTGAAGAAACAAGAGGCAAACGGGTCCTTGCAAGTGTTGATGATGTATAATTTATTTCAGGCATATATCCTACGATGGTTTCATTTTGGAGCTATATTGGTAAATCTCAGAGAATATACAAACGGCGGACATGTTCCGCCTAGCAATGCCATGAACCTTACTCGGCTTTATATAGGTGGACTACCAAGTCATGTTTTTGCACCACATCTTACTAACAGGTAGGTTAAGAACTTTTTGCAAATCATTTAAAACATTTAANTCACTTTCCTGGAGAATTGCTCTTAAAATACGTAACAAAAGACCTCAGGGGTGGATCTGCTACACAGGCTTTATCGGCCTTTTCAGGTGTATTGATTGGAGGGTAGGGTTTTTTTTCTTATGGGTTAGAAGGGGGTTCAGACCCTTCCAATAGCTGGGTAACACACTGAGAGCAAATTGCCAGACGTTCTTTTGCCTTTAACACGTACTTTATCAGACACTTTTGTTGGCAATGCACGTATGCAGTTCCAGGGTCGATGATGAAACTGACAAGAAATGATGGCTGGTTGACCACTCTGTATTTACGTGTTTATTTGCCCTACATTTCGAAATTTTAATTATTTTTAAGAGTTTTATTTTTAAAACGACTATTTTAGTTTTGTATTACAAGTGTTAGTTACAAAAACAGTTCATTTTATGTTTAAGTTAGCATAATTGTAAAGCGCATTAGATCATATCCTAATGAATTTTGCGCTATACAAGTGATGAGTTATTGTTATCATTTTCTTAGGTGCCTTAGCTTTTACTAAAGGCATGGAGAACTGTTCGGATTTGTGACCTTAGACAGTTCTCCTGCCCATAGAGTAACCTGGTGGCTCGTCAGTATAACATTATAGAGACAATACATATCAGTTAATCAGGAATTCTTTTGTGTTTCGCTTCATGTTTTTAGGTACCTTGGCTTCGTAGGATGTATGAGTGATATGGAGGTTAAGGGTAACGCAGCGTTGTTTGATATAACCAACTTTGACATAAAAGGACCTGATAAGAGCAGTGACTCATGCTATGATGTGGCCCAACCAGGTCTTGGCTTCAATGGTTCGGCCTGGGCAAGATTCGGTATGTAAACATGACAAAATGATTCAGTCTCGGTTAACTATTTTCCAGCCCCGCTTTTACGTGAACTAGGAAAAGTCTTACGACCTTTGATCGTGAATGGCTTGACGAAAACCAATCCAGACCAACATTATTAGCACAAGCATGTTTAATTAACTGAATACCCATCTGTACAGGACACGGTATGACTGTAGTTATAGTATCTGCATTCCAAACATTATTGCCGCACTCCGGGGAAACAGGGGGAAAATACTATTATAATAAAACGTTACCAAAGGAGATTTTTTTGCATTTTTTTTAGACAACATCACGTTAGGTGAAAATTTTAGCGTTGAATTGACCTTCCGGACTTCAACTCGTGATGGTATACTCTTTGTGATACTCGGTAACTCCACAACTGAAGCAGGTGAGTTGATTAGATGCCCGAAGCTCGGCTTAGTACCCAGTCAGCAGATAAAGAATAGAGAACGCATGCGCGTGAGTTACTTTATGAGCGCGCAGAAACACATTAGCGTCGATGACGTGATAGGGCTAAGGATGAAACCACTGCGTAATGAGGCAAGTGTTAATTTTTGCCTAAATTTATTAAAAGGAGAAAAGCAAACCAGCTTCATTTACAATAAACAGTGTTACCCTCTTCTTCCTCAATTTGTTTTTTCCTCCCCCCCCCTGCCCCACTCAACCACCGACAGTACCACAATTTTACTGTTTCCCACTACTACTGGCGGGCACTGTCATTATCGAGGATGGCTGTTGCTTTGCTTTTTGTCCACTTTAGGTAACCAGATGCAAGCACGTCTGGAACAGTCAAGTGGACAGGTATTATAAGAAGCATGAAATATAAATAGTTCTGAATCTTGTTCCACTAACCGTGTAAAGAAAGGATGTGGGACCTGACGCATTCAGAATCCAAGCTTGAGAGAGGAAGCAAACACATGTTTTTTTCCTCTCTCCTGACTTCACCAACAGTTGACTTTAATCATACTGAACAAGGGGTGATCACGATAAAGTTTGACACAGCGCGAATTCATTTTAGTCATGTTTGTGTTGTTGTTGTTGTTACTAAATCTCTATGCGAGAGATTTTTAGCAAGAACGACGCGACGGCAAAGAGAAATAAGTAAAAAACGCAAAGCGTTTTATAAGGAAACAACTTTTTCGAGTTTTTTGTTTTTTCTATACTTTGATGCGGTCTCAAGAATTGAGCAACAGGAAAATTCACCCACCCGACCACCCTGTAAGCCAGTCGAAATAATCGCGATGGAGTTTGGAAAGTAACACGTTGTTAAAACACTCTTTTGTGCGTACACGATGAAGCACTGGTATAAAATGAAATCAAATCGCAAATTGTAATTTTCTCCGCGCTCCTTTTAGCGCGACGGAAGCTCTCTTACACTGCACGTGTCCTGGTAAGGCGATAAGTAGCATGTCGGGAATCTTTGACCCTGAGTTTAGAACTGACGACTTCTCTTCTTTCTTACCGGCTGAGCTACGAGATCAGACAAGACAGTTAGTTGCAAAAATTTATGGCACCCTCCGATCATTGTAGTGAATGATGACAACTGAGGGCAAAACGTGTTCATCTTTTTTAGATAATTTTCACTTATACCGCTACTATCAATGAATCACGAGTTGTGTGGACTGAACCTGGCCTTGGAAACAATAGCCAGTCGTCATACCTGATGTGCCAGATGGACTGGCACACAGTGAGAGTAAGGAAACATGGAAGGAACATAACCATTAACATGGATGACGACCATTACGCCAGCGGTACAATGTTAGATGGTACCAGCATGAACGGGAAACTATTTCTGGGTGGATTTCCAGGTAAAATATTTACAAACCTTTCAAAGTTATAAAAAAAGATTAGGGAGTGCGTGCGAGATCGATGGAAGGTCAACAAAACGCTCTCAACGTTTGCTTTGTGTATGTTTCACGCGAAAGGAGCTCAAAACGCGAGTGATCAGATTACGAGTGATAGAAGGTTCAAACGCGCATGATCAGATTGCGTTCTTTTCATTTCGTTCATTATTAGTAGAAAGCCCAAACGAACGCTGGCTACATACGTACCGCGCATGCGTAATAGTAACCATGAGATCAGGATTGCGGGCTCCTCTGATCGCCAGTAATAGGCAAAATTTAGGTTTAACTCAAAATAATAAAGTAAGTTTTCTCAGGAATACGAGAACAACAGGGCAAAACGAAGGAGAGAGATCTTTGAGGTTTTATTCAGTTGGTGATTGTCTTTCTTGCAGCTACTACGTCGGGAGAAAACAATACCGTTTGGACCGGATTTCAAGGCTGTGTCAAGTCATTCAGTGTGGACGGGGAAAATCTTCACTTTGCGCGAGCTGCAGACGTATCTCACGTCTCTTTAGCCTGTCCACTGAACAACAAAGAAAAAGAGTCCATTGTTGACAGTCGATAATGATAACTCAGAATTTATAGTAATAGTCGTTAATGGACGCAGCGAAAAAAACTAAAGAACGATGACGTAGAAGTTATGCTGTTTCTCGGTCTAATGAAACTGGAAAATGAACTTTGCATAAATCCTACGTTGTATTTTTGCTTTTATTTTCTCTGGGCTAAATTTCCGGCAAGAGAAAGCCCTGGGTTTTAACTTGGGATTTAATCGACGAGTGATCTTTTTGGGACAACGAACTTACAACGATACCAATAAAGGGAAGGTCAACTAAAAGATCTTCAACGTTTGTGTCGTTTTAGGTGGTCTAGCAATGACATTCTTTTGTTTTTTTCTTTTTAATTGACTCACAACCTATCATTTCTTGAAGCAAGTTCTGCTTTGCATAATGGAAGAAACTAGCGACAAAATATCATATAATAAAAGATGATCTAGATAAGGTTATCTAGATAAGAATCAAGAAAATATGCCATCAAACGTTGTCTGGAATTGTTTCCTTATATTGCAAAACTTACGGGTGCCAAAGATACGGTTACAATTTTCATTAACCGTCCCTATAGCTTATTATACATGCTAACATCATAAGGATAAAACCCATTTCTCTTATCACATTTTCCCCCTTCCAATATGTTAGTACTAAAAAGCACTTATCAAAGTTTTCCTCATTTTTTGATCGGCTATTTTTCACTGTATCTTTCTATGATCAAGAACTCACTACTCCAAGTCTATTAACTGACCAATCACAGGCGACTTAGGAACATCTTGCAATGAGGAAGGCATGCTTCCTAAAAGAAAAAAATTAATAGAAAGAGGACAAGAGTTTAGTTTCAAGATTTTTATGAAACAATAGAGCTCTATGTAACTTTAAACGGGTAGCTTTCTCATTAAAGGGAATTAACGCGAGAGAGGGGGTAACATTTCAAAACGAAGGAAATTAACGCGACATACCCTCCACTCCCCGCCCCCCCAACAAAAAATTTCTCGTCCACCAACACAATTTGCGAAGTTCCACCAAAACGTTCGAAAACAGTCCTGATTTCTTCTTCAGTGATCTTCACTGTGTTTTTACATACTAGCTTCGATCAAGAGGCTGCAAAATCGCTCCGTAGATCGTTGGAAGGTAGTTTCTCCGGACGTAACATTAATATTCTTACCTTTATAGGAAAACGGTGAGGTCAAATTAAGGCGCGGTGATAAATTCTGTCTGTCTGAAGAGAAAGAGGAAGCATCCTTGTAATAATAATAATAACAATAATAAAAATAATAATAATAATAATAATAATAATAATAATAATAATAATAATAATAATAATAATAATAATAATAATAATAATAATAATTGTAAGTGCGTGTCCAAAACTGGCACAAAAAGAATGTAGAAAGAGACATGAGAACGTAGCTAGACCAATCCGATACATTTTAGGTGAAAGAGACCATTGCATGCTTGACATGAAGCTTGACATGACAAAGGTCGCTTAGTGTGGTTTACCGCACCAAGGTTGAGTGGTATATCACTCGCTTGCATTAATATTCCGGCCGCGACAAAATAGTCCCGTGGTTGCCAATTTTGAAAGTAGTTTTGAGGTACCGCTTCCACGAGGGAAATCTTTCACGTCTCTCGAGGTAATAAGATGAGACATAACTTGGCTCAAACCAAACGCAAAGCTGACCAAATGGTTCGCCGCCGAAGAATTCACCTCATGGTTGTGAAACAGCCGGATAAGTTTTGGACGCGAAAGTTAAACAGCGCCGACTGAACAACAAGGAAAACCACAGAGAAGAGAGGAGCGAAAATATCCCACAATCATTTGCACGGAGCATAACTTAGACCGCTGTCCAAGGATTGGCAGTATTCATGAGAATACGCAAAGATTTTCTAACAAATCTCTTATACCGTGATCTTACAACAAGATTTCTAGATGGTACGATGCATTGAATGCCCAAACAAATGATTTCTGGATTTCACTCCGCCGATTACTATTCCGGTTTACGGACAATAAAACACGACCTAAACTTGTTCATAGAGGGTTTTGACCGGGTAGTAGGGCCAAATGCCTAATGTACCTACCTTCTCCGGATAAGCCAACTAGGCTTGCAGGAGTGTGAGTTGGTCCAGTCACCCATGTTATTCGCTCTGGTCGCTGAACAGAATTTACCAGAAGAGGGGTTGATAATGTATTGTGCATCACTACACTATGCAGTCCATTATTACTTGTAGTGGGTGCAGAAGAGGTCTTTCCTTCTGAAGCGGGACCCGTTCTAGTTGCAAGTCGCTGCGGTAGGCTTGGGGTGGCTGCCTCCCACTGCAGTTCTTCAACAAGCCCAAGGCCTACACCGATGTCCATCGAAATGGGTGTGTTTCCATGCAAAGGACTGGTAAACGCCTGGTCGTGTTTGAATGGTGATTGCAAAAAGAAATTTCGATCGAGATAGGAAGATGGCGAACCAGGAGGGCTTGTCACGTTTCTAGGTGAGTTAAATGAGAAATTGACCAGCTCATTCTTGATACCATCCTCTGAAGGCGAGGCCCCACTACTTGGCGTCAGCGGTGTTAGAAGAGCGGGCTCACTTGTGCGACTGGTACTCAAGTCCTCGCCAGTAATTGCTCCAGGTGTGACCTATAACAACAAACATGGGTAGTATTATACTCTCTTGATTTTCTGAAACGATCCAACGTAAAACAAGCGTGGAAAACAAACGTGAAAGCTTTCTCTCACCCAAAATAGAAAAAACCTGAAAAGAAATAAGCCATGCTAGGTCACTCATTACCTGTCAGGGTACCTGATATTGGGAAAACAGCCTGTACACCAGGCCTTCCTTCAAGGGCGGGACTACTTTTAAGTTATATTACTATTTTTAATGATCATAATTATTACTGACTATACCTCTCCCATAGTGCCAATTACTAATGTCGCAAGACGATGGGAACCAGGTCTAAATACGTACCTTGTAGAGAGTTATATGACAGAAGCCCGACAAAAGCAGTTACCTGTTGGCTTTTTTGCGCCTGTTTTATTTGGTCCAGTCTGCTGGCTAGAAGGGACGCGTCTGAAGGCGTTTCCGCAGCATTTTCTTCCCTTGGCAAGCTGTCCTCTGCACAGACCTCAGGCAGTCTCAAGGGTGTGTAGTGTGGTGTGGAAAAAGCGGATTGCTGAGTTAATTTTATTCTGTTGAGTCTCTGGATAAGCGCAGAGGTGTCAACGTCATTTGACGATGATAGTACATGGTTTTTACTACCTGTGCTCAGCTTGGTTGGGGGTTTTACATCCAAGGGAGCGACGGGTGTGTCACGCTGCTCTGAGAGAACGTTATGCTGTAGAGTTGGTTTTGTGACACTGGTGGTTGTGGGAGTAAGACATATACCAGAGGATCCAGAGACCATTTCATGTACTGAATTAGAGTGATGTGTAGGCGTTCCTCCATTCACAACAGTGTTTTTGGATCTGGCGACAGAATGGTTAAGAGATTCATAGTGTTGTAGTTCTAAAGCGTCGTTATTTGATGGTGGGTGTTTGATCCGGTTAAGCCTTTCAGTCAACTCTGTTGTATCAAGCTTATGATGACTTGAATTAGAAACTCCTGTCATCTCTGGAGTGGTGCGGCGGGGATGAAGTGGACTCCTAACTGGTGACGGTTTGCTAGCCGGAGAGGCAAGGCTGAAGCCGATTTCCAATTCAGGAGGTTTCGCCTTAGGCGGTTTCATCTCCAACTTAACTTTATAATCTTTAGGTCTGGACTGCTCACCAGAAATGTTAAGAAATTTAAGATCTTCAAATGGCGAATTGCTGTTCTCTGTTGGCGATCCATCGAAAAGTTCTGTTTTTTTCGAGTTAGGTGTCACTTGAATGTTGTCTCCGTTTTGACGAAGCAGCCAAAAGTCAAGTTTAGGTGACGCACCAATGTCAAGCGGTAAACTGGATGATTGTGGTATTTGCTGTGTAAATACCTGACTGGGAGTAGCTTGTTGTTGTGACGTCATCATTTCCGGTGGTTGGGGCGAATCATCAAAGAGTGATTTTTTGACTGACCTTGGAGTAGCTCGAATGAATGAGAGATTAAAAGACTCATGTTCATTAACCGTCTCTTCAGGAGCTACACCAGGGGTTCGCTTCACACCAGACAGGTCAAAAGCTGTTCCTACACTCACTGGCAAGAAATCACGCTCAGGAGGCGACTCTTGAACGTACGAGGTTTTAAGTAACCTTGGAGTGATGTTGATGTCAGACCAACTTAGGTCAGCTTGAGAGGATGGAACTGTTGAATTTTCCTCAAAAATTGGACTTGGAGTAGCTACTCCTGACTGAGAATCATCAAGGATTGTTTCCAAAAGGCGCCCAGATTTGTTTTCACTGATAGGTTTCGTGAAGGTCGCTTCTAAAAGACAAAAAAAAACGATAAAACGAGAACTGCTTTAAATTGTAATCTTACAGGCAGTCGTATAGTATAAATGAGTTAACTTAGAACCAAATACTTTATGATCTGGTTATTTAAACAAAGTCTAACATAGACCGTGGTTTCAGACAATCGGTGGACATCCAGATCTGTTTCTGAACGAGTTATTCGAAGTGGTTAAACGTTTTCTAGTCTGCCATATATGCCTACAGACTGTTAACAGTAGACAAGGTTTGCGGTTGTTTTGTAAAATACCGGATAAAGTCTGAAAGTCCTTTACATACTAACCTCCCTCCTTTTTGGCTGGAGTTCTTGGTATCAGGTCTCGAGACTGAAAAGCGTCTTGTCCTGAAATGTGTAGGAACGTTTGTACGTGAATAATAATAGCCGCAACGAGACGATAATAAAAGTTTCTAAATTGGCCGTTGGTGTGAACATGGTTCGTACAACTTCAATCAAACAAAATTCAAGGACCCTTTCAAGGACAAATCACAGTTTTCAAGAACTAAGATAAATTCAATAAATCGGCATTCTTTGACTCCCTTTTGATTGGCTAAAACATTCAATGTGGTCAATAACGATTTTTACTTCTTCAGCCATGGTTGATCACATTATTTTATACTACTTTCCGTAACACCATGCTTTGGAAAACGACAACAGTCACTGGGTATGACTTGCAGTTGCATCTGAAAAATAAGATCGTTCATGCACAGAAACGTTTTGCGATACCCGTGAGTTTTACAGGCTCCTAAACCGAGGATGAGCTAAATTTTCCCCTGCAAAATAATCTTCTTTCACAGAAAACGATGTGGTGTGAACAAACTAAAGTAGTGAATTTCAAGGACTTTTTAAGACCTTATGAAGAAATCAAGTACTTTTCAAGGACCTTAACCGAATTCAAGGATTTTTCAAGACGACTATTAGAATTCAAGACCTATTCAACATTGTACGAACTATGTGTGAAAGGAGTTTCTATTTCTGTCGACAGGATTGTATCAGTTGGTGATCACATTTTACCCAAGTATGAAACTGTAACTGTTCCACAGTTGTTGTAAAGAAAAAACAAAAACAACAACAAAACAAATGTGCAATAAAGTGAAGTTCCCTCTATTTAGATGTAGGACTTGGAAGTCAACAAGAATGAAACGTACCTAAGGCACCAACCGGGTCCACTAATGCTTGAGCCACCTGTGAGAGTGGAGGAGGTAGAAGAGTATTATATGTAGCGATTGGAGACAAGCCACTATATTAATAAAGCAGAGGAAGAAAGATTCGCGTGTGTTATTTCTAACACATCACAAATAAAAAAGCGTATCCATTTAAGCGAACGAATGAATCTTAAGACTTTATCTAATTCGAGGAGTTTGATTGTAAAAATAAATAAACAAATATCATACAATGGGGGTACTGGCTCTAGATGAAGAAGTCGTGGATGACAGTGAACTGGAAGTTGTCTCATCCATGGCAACGGCATCTGCAATCTGTAATGGAACATAACACGTAGGGATATGGGTTAAACGAGATTATCATCTAAAAAATAAACTTACAATTAAATGGCTCTCTCAAAACATGACGTGAAAGGTTATTGAATGCAAAAAGTTTGATTAAATTAATTGAAGAATCCTGAGATTTAGGATTAACGGCTGGGACATCAGGCTACCAAGAAAGATAACATCAATAGATAATCAGTGAAAAAAGAGCAAAACCAGTTATTCACTAGGCTCAGTCTCCAGCCTTGTGTGTCTCGATGCGCCCGCGGTACACCCGGGGCGCATCGAGACACCCGAGCCGGCTGGAGACTGAGCCTAGTTACTCACCTCATTTGCTAAAATTGTTTGCGGTTGAAGAATTAATGGGGATTCCTTAGCAGTCTCTTTCTTTACCTCCTGACCTCTTGGGGTGACATAGTGCTTTATAAAGGAAAAAACGAACAATCAATCAAAAGCAAACTATGGTATCTCTTTACTTGATTTTCTTGTTTAATAAGAGACCTTGCTGTATGCCAATTTCCCCACCCATTGTTGGAAACTTATAGAATAACTTTCGAGAGTTAACAAATGGTGAAGATAGAATGTTAACGCATACCGGGTAGAGGACGCTTTTTTGAGTGTAACTTTTAGTTGGTTTCGTTTTCCTTTTTTGCGTCGACTTTGAGGTAATAGGTTTGGCAGTTGCACCCTAAACGAGAAAGACAAATAAAAGAACATTAAATAATTGAGTGAACAAAAAATCATAGAAGTTGGTCAGGTAAGGAACTGTGTGATGATAATTGCTGGCCATGTGCAGTGGATATCTTAGTTCATCTCACAATCTTAAGACGTGGTTACTGACTGTTTGCGTTCTCAATTGAGTACCTGGGAAGCTAGTTGTACATGCCGTTTCGGTCGTGGAAGTCTTGAGGGCTCTGCATTTCTGATCCTCAAAAACAAAATTGAAACAATGTTAGCAAGGAAATCTCTACCACTATCTGCTTTCAAGTCAAAAATAACATAATGGCGGAAATTGTAGATAAAGACAATGCAGAGTATTATAGTCACATACTTTGCTTGCTTTGCCAAAGATTCCTGGGAATCTAACAAAACAAAACAAAACAAAAAAAAGAAAGAAAGGATTCAATCACCAACTAAAGGATAATGGTAACTTGATAAAAGAAAAAACGACTGATTAAAACAATGGTGGTAATACAGAATACAAGACATGTTAGTCGCTGGCAAATAATTTGATAAGTTACCTACCCTTACCACTCAACTGGCTTTTTTTGGAAGATTGGGTCCACGCTTGAATGACATCAGGGGTTGACACTAAGTTAACATTTTCAACAATCAGAGATTCAGCATGTTTAACAGATAAATACAGTATCTGTTGAAAACTAAACTATTGAATTTTCCTTGTTAACTGAACTGAAAAAGAGTGCTAAGTGTTGTAAACCTGTTTCTGGTGACATCCTGAGAGTTTCATTAAATGAAGCAATTCTCTCTGCTGCTGCTGGTGTGTTAGCGGCTGCAAATGACACAGGTGGAGTAGGAGGAACAAGGCCAAGTTTCTGAAACATTTAAAAAGTAAATGCGGAGTGATAATGCATCTTTCATGCTGAGGGATTGGTTAAGTTGTGCAAGTAACAAAATCATTAACAAACTTTTCTTTTGTTCTTCTGCCCCATACATAACAATCATATTACCTTATACAGCTGTAAGAATAATCTAGCAATTAACGATCCAAAAATCACATTAGAGAGATTACGATTCACGTTTACGCCAAACGGCAAACGTGAGTTTGTACCACGTGACCAAGTTTTCCCCTCAACTGTCGTTTACTGTTTATTACCTCTACACAAAAATAAGTCGTTTCACCCCTGTTTTATCCATAAGAATTGTTCTGGACAGTTTTTACCTGCTTATTTTCTATTCTGAGAATTTCTCAACTTGAATATGACGTTTGCCGTTTGTCGTAAACCTGACTCTTAATCTCTTTATTAATAACAGCAAGGCAACTAAAAAGAAATAGTCACAATAGTAACACAATTCATACACTACATAATTTCAGTTGCAAGTAAATAGTTAGAACCAATTTATCTGGTCTACAGAGTCCTCTTTTGAGTTAAAGATGAGGGGAGAAATTTAAGGAATGTAGTGTAGAGATGGAGCGTTTCTCACTCTCACTCACAAATACAACAGGTGCTTCATGATGTGAACTGTCCTGCTTCTCAAGGCTCTTATAACACTGCTGCTTCATCTCATGGATTGATTCCTTCATTGAAGGCATTGTCGCTTGGATTGCCTCTCTGAAAAAAATAATGAAAAGAAAATAAGTTGCCTGTCTGAAATGCCTTTGGAAATGATGTTATGAATGTTCTGAAAATGCACCTCCGGCCAGGTACAACAAAGCTAGTTTTAACTAATTTGATTAAATTTTATATCCTTTTAACAGTACACTATGAATCATGCATCAAAATATTATTAACAGGGCTTTGATCCAAAGGGCAGTTAGAAATCAGAGCTAAGTTGCTTTTTAGAAACATAATAGCTGACAATGTAAGAAAATTTCATATCCTTTGTTAGCTACCATTCAACTTTGCCATGTATTGTAAATATTAATAATAATAACAATAAGATTAGTGACAGCACTGATTCAACTAAAAGTACAAAAAAGCTAGCATCTGTGGTTAAACTCAGGAAAGAACTGAGAAGACAGAAGCCTTGACCATTGAATCACGGCAAAAAAAAAATGTACAAAAAAGGTACATGGTTGTACTAGCAAAAATATTGATAATGATGATGATGATGAATGCCTACCTCAGAGCTGTGGTGTTTGCAAGATGAGCATAATGAGTATGCAGTGCTGATTTCATTACTGGACTCTGATCATCAAAGCCAGGAAGAGAATCTGAGAAGAAAATATAAAACAATAAAACAACAACCACCAACCTTAATCACATAAACCACTCCACCTTCTTTCATTGAAAAGGCACAGCAATGGATCAAATAAACCTCCACAACTTTTGTTTGTCAATGGTCCAATGTTCAATTCAAATGGCTGTATGTCAAAGTTCTATGGTATAAACCAAAACAACGGTGACAAACCTTGAGATAGCTGCTCCTTTATCTTACTCAGCGACAAGTTCCAGAGTTGAATGAGGCTGTTTGCAGGGAAAGGAAATCAGGGAATCAAGTTGTTAAGGACTTCAAAAAACACCAAAATAATTCTCTAAATTCTTCCATCTCACCTAAACAGATTGACTTTTCCACTAACATAAGTGTCTTCAATATTTCTCTGCAAATGAATAAAAGAAAAAGTAAAATATCTGAATGAACACAAACTTTACACATATTCCTGTTACTGGAAGTTAGCAAAGGAAGGTGGAATAACGAACTATTTACCTTTTTTATTTCTCTTTCACAATCTCTCAACAGCAAGTCTGGAACCTGAAAATAACAAAACAGGAAATAATCCATCACTCAAGTTAATAAATGTATATATGAGACACACATTCAACTGTGCTACTTTACTCTTTAGAAAGTATGCCACGTTAAGGTAAGCAGGGCATTGTCACACCTGAGGGCAAAGGCAAACTTGAGGAAAGGAAACCACAGGACAACACTACCAGAAATTGGTCCAGCAGCCCAATGCTCACACATAACTTACATGTACAAACTTTGCAATGCTGTATCCAGCCTTAAAGGATGGGAAACGTAAATTATTGGCATCCCTAACCATTCTGTGACAATGAATACCATTCAGGTTCTCATTTCAATTAGAAATGAGATTTTATATTGAGAACTTGGCAATTAAGGTAAGTATCTAGAGTAGTCTATTGAGGCCAAATTGATTATAATGTTTTCCACTCACCCTTGGCTGAAAGTCAGCAGCATCAATTTGATACTTGTTTGCTTCACCCTGGAGCACTGAGTCTACTATACTTCTCTGTTCAGTTGAAAATACAAGAGAAAAACAATTACAACAAACTTGGTATACACGTAAAGCTTATCATAAAAAGGTGCGAACAGCAGAAATATTTATGGAATGTTATTGAATGTGTAGTGAAGAAAACACCAATCAGGGGTTAGAAAACAACACTGTGAAGCACAGTGTAAGACTATAGTTTGTGGCTTTGACGCTTGCTTGCATTCCCAGAATGAAGAATCAATATTGTGTTAGTGCTTACCACTGCATTATACTCTCCAAACAACACTGTACTAATTCAGGCACACGACCATTTGACCCATGTGAAAAGTAACAGGAAGAAAAAAGCAGAGCTAGAATGCAAACTTGAAACAAAATTCTACATCATATGAGCTGCAATGCATACCTGAGGTGACTGGACTGTGTAAAATTCTGCAATCCCTGCCCACAAGTCACGAACCTATACATTACGAACATGTGAAAATCATTGGTCTGTAAATTATGTTCATTACAATACATCTACATACCTTCTACATGCCAGTTCAGGGGTTTTGTGCGTATTGGCATTAACAGTGGCAAAAATGAAGGGTGATATGTACAATATGTTTTTCTGGTGGGGGGGGGGGGGGGTGTTGGGAAGACACATGCTTGCTTAAAGTTCAGCATGTCTTGATGTCATCCACTCTCGCCTCACCTGTTCCATCAACATGACCAGCTGCATATGCACTCAATGAAAAAGTTGGGCTAGAGTTAGGGAAACTGGAGGAAATGAAAGGATCATTTACAAAGTAAGCCAAAATGAGAGGGCTGTCTCGATGGTGTTAGACCCAAGAAAGATGGTTTGCTGCAAGTGTGTTGAATAGTTTGTTAACAATACTCTGGTGTGTTGATTCTCATCAGTACTAGCTCTTTACCTAATGCAGAAGATTTGTTTGCAACATCGGCCAGGGGAAAAGTATTTAGCAGTTATTTAGGGTATATGTGAACAACGTCATCCAACTTAAGCAAGTTGGATAAAGATTGTCAGGCCAGGGGAACCTGACCATTAAGACTCACAAGGGGTTGCACCATTACAAACTTGGTGCCATTTGGAGTCTCCAGTGCACCAGCCACATTTCAGAGAATTTATGGACCAGATTCTGCAGGCCTAGCATAAAGTTCACAATATGCCATTTGGATGATGTTCTGATTCAGGGTGTTCCCCTATGGATCTGGGGAAGGGTTTTAGGCATTTTCAAGACCACAGTATCATCATCCAATTTTACTTTCCTTCACTGGGCCCTCATTTTTCTTAGACACCGGATTGACAATAACAACATTCACCTCCTCCTGCAGAGGACAGATTTGACCATGAATCTTAGTGTCCTACAAGTGTCAAGGAGTTGAAGTCCTATTTGGGACTTTGCAATAAATGATTATGGTATACTTCTGCCAAACCTGGTCACTACACTGTATCTCCTCAACGACAGGCATTGGAGGAGGACAGAGGAATGTGACTCAGAGTTCTCTGATATTTAGAGCAGTTGCTAACTAACTACCAAGGGAGTCTATTGTTTCTCAGGTAATTTCGACCTGACGATGATCCTTGTGACAGTCATGCCAAGTATTTTGTAGACATCTTAAATGTTCTTTGGCTCAAACAATTGGACGGGAAGCTACCCACAGGACAATTTATTACCAGGCCCGGGTTGCTCGAAGCATGGTTAGTGCTAACCAGCGTTAAATACCATGGAAACCTATACATTTTGATACCTCCTAACCAACGGTTAGCGCTAACCAGGCTTCGAGCAACCGGCCCCAGGTCTGAGAACTCAATAATCAGCTGTGTCAGGATTTGGGACCCAGTGTAATTGCTGATCACTATGAAGGTAATGCATTGTGCTTTACATCTCCATATACCACACTTTGTTTGCAAAAGGGTAACCTTTATCAGACTTCACCATCAGTGGGCTTATGAGGCTTTCAGGTGTTATCCGTGCAATCAAAGTGAGGGAAAAATGGATAATGCTTATATTTAACTTGGCTTTGTTTTGATTTTTTGGTAAACAGATTTGACAAGACTTCCATGATAACAAGCTCATGTCTTGAGCCCTGGGCTTGATGTGAGTTGTTCCACAGGTCAGTACCTACAAAGACTGGCAGTAGCAAGCTTGTTAAGATGATTTTGCATTACTTTATGTTTCTGTAAGCTCTTATTTTTTTGGACAGTTATGTTTTGGTTGAGAATCTTGTAATGAAAGCACAAAAGGGAAGTCAACAAAATGAAAAGTAACAATTCCTAAAGACTAGCGAAGAACTTAATACCTTTTGCAACTCCTGAGTCCTTTTCAGTGCTTCAACCTCTTCTTGGTAGTCTGTCTTCACCCTACAGATTACAGTAACTAAACCCATCAGTGCAAATGATACATGGTACAAGGTTACTGATAACATGTTTATTCTTACCCAATAGTTGTTCCTCGAGGTGCTATCATTCCATCCATTTCCATGACATATTTTTCAACATCACGCTTCCTTTTCATCAAAGACCTGAACTCCTTTGTTGACTCGCTAAGAGCATACCATAACACTGACATAAGGTTTCCCTATTTATTGCATAACAACTAGGTGAACATGTACGTGTAAAATTTACGGCCTGCAGCTATTAATGACAGTCCTGCATGTTACATACTGTCTGTACCTTCTTCCCTCAAATATCAGAATTTTTTTTAACTGCTCTTTACTTACATTGCAAACTCTTTCCAGTGCTGTTCAACTTGCACCGCTTGTTGTGTAAACTCAAGAAATCTAATGAAAAAAGCAGATTATATGTGTACCTACAGTGAAACCAAGTATTTTTTATTTATTCTGTGTTTCAGCAATGAATAGTCAATAGTGACAAAAATATCCACTAAAAAAAAAGAAAAAGAAAATCCTATTTAATCTGAAAAACATTGATATATTTGCCCATGTGAGATGCACAAGACTAGCAATGTGGAAAACATTATTTTTCATCATTTTACAAAAATAACATAGATAATTTTAAACAGTATTTATTTGGAAGTTTGGCTTGGGTTTTTTTAAACAGTTTTTATTGAATTAAAGACAAGTTTTAATATGTTACTGAGAATAATCACTAATTAAATAAATTAGACTATATTTGAAGGCATTATTACTATCAGGGATGAAGCGTTTTAATATACCTGTAGCTATTCCTTTGTTCGATGGCTTTATTTTTTAAAATGATTACCTCTTTTTCAAAACAATATAATGAGCCTCCAGTGCTCTTGACATGACTTGTGTAAAGGAATGATTATGGACAGTCTTGGTTGAAAATGTAGGAATGCTGATTGTTTTGCCTAATGGGAAAAAGCCAAGAAAAAAGCAAATAATCATGATACAACTTTAGAAATATTCGATAGTTTTTTTTTCCACAGAGATGCCTTTATAAGCAATCGGCTTTATGATTTATCATTTTGTAGTAACCTTGCTGATCCACTAGTGAAAGGATGTTTGATCATACAGGCCATAACAGGAAATTATATTATTTTTTAATATTTCAATAATGAACTCACTGCTATGGCATTTGAAAAAAACTTTGAAGTATTTATCAACCTTTTACCATGTTATTCTAAAACAATAAATGGCAGTACAAAAGGGTACAAAAGAAAAATAAGACTTTATTATGTTCAACACCTACCATGATCTCGATGCATGACCTTTGTCAGAACATACAATGAGAAATGACGAAGAAAGGCATAAAATCGATCTCCTGTGGTAAAGAAGGAAATTCAGTATCAGGATCACCAGGTTCTTACAAATTTTAAGGGGATAAGCATCAACAGTGTTCACACAAAAGATTTCAACCATTTTTCAAGGACTACATTAGATTTTCAATGACCACCTACTAGGAATATAATTTCACAGACTCTATAAAAATGCACAGCATCAAAAAACACTTTCCAGGCCACTACATTCAAAGTTGAAGAAAATCAAGGACTTTTCAAGGACTTGCATAGAAATTTAAGGACTTTTCAAGGACTTCCTCTAAAATTCAAGGACCTTTTAAGACTGTGGGAACCCTGATCAAAGGGAGGGACAGAAAAACATGTTTTACCGGGAGGTTAACAATTTAGTAGCTGCTGTGCTGCTTACACTGTTCATATAATGCATATCATTGCAAATCATTACACAGTGCAGAGTCAGGTAAGTTAACGCTTGACACATTACAGAACCATAAGAAGGTTTTTTTTCTTTAGAAAGGAATACATGTGCTTTAATAAACCAAGGGCCTGGGCAGGCTGTCTCTAAGATTCAAGTGACCTGCTCATAGTAGCTGGGGGAAATCCTCAGTGCCAAGCCCTTAAAGACAGCCCACGCAGTCAAGAGTATATCAAATACATCATTTATAAATGTACTTCAGTAGTATCACAATCACATATAATTTATTGTATCACTTCATCAGTTAATACATTCACAATGAAATATTAAACTGACTAGCTTTCAAAATGCAGCAACCTCTTATCACACCCTGTTGCTACGAGTGATAAAATGAAGGAGACATTATTGATGTGCAACAAATTATGAGAGGTGGCTATGTTGTGGTTCAAATTTGTCCTTGGTTTAAACTTAATTTCCTTTTGTCCCAAACTCATTATCATACATTACCACACCCAAAAACAAAAGAAAATAAAATTTAAACAAGGGATAAAATTGAACCACCACAGCTATATATGCAGTCAAAGTAAAAATTAGATTAAAAAACTCCTGCACATAAATCTTATGCTGGTACCTCCGGGAGAGTGGAAGAGAGATTGAACAATTCTGGGTAACCTTGCCTCTGGATCTTCCTATAACAATAATTATTATTACAGAATAAATGAATCAATCACTTGCAAAGCAAGGCATGAGGCATGAGTTCATTTACTTTGTCTGTAGTATTTATGTTGTGGTTTAATTTTATCCTTGGTTTAATTTTTTTTCTTTTGTTTCAGGTTCATTATCATATATTACCATACCCAGAAACAAAAGAAAATAACACTTGTACCAGGGATAAAATTGAACCAAAACATATACATGTACATGTAGAAACTTTTTTGAAGGGCAATGTGAATTATTTTGTCAATTATGTTAATGATATAAATGACATGTACCTTGTGGTCCTTGACTACAATGTATTTGTGCATGGACTTGTTATAAGCATGTACATTGTACTGTATGTGCTGTATGGTATTGTGATCAAAATATTTGATGGAGTACATCTTGCACTGCACAGGTTGTAAAAACCCAATCAACTTCACAAGTCCATGAAAAAAACCTGATTACAACTTGCAGATACTAAATTAAAATACCTTTTGTATTCTGGACACCCAGCTGAAGCATACTTTTCTAAACTGCTGCTCAAGCACTTTATCTCGAACAGGCCAGCAATCTCTGTGTTCATGAGAAAAATTAATGTTTTTAAGAAGGAAAGAAAAAAATAAAACAATGCTGACAATAACTTTTATTGAGAATCAATTAACTCCTGATAGAGGCTTTCCAACATACTAGGTTTTCTGATTCACAAATATAACATTACAATCATGTCTGCCTTAATTAGTTCTTACTTTGGTCACGATTAGTTATGACGGCTAGTTTGGCAAATGTATTGTGACAATTGATTGCAAACAACTAAATTTATAACACCTGAACTCTTCATAAGCCAGCTGAGGATGGAGTCTGGTAAAGAGAAAATGCATGACAACCTCCATGGCCTTCTTGTTTGGCAAAGCAAACATGTCTCTGAAAAGAAAGATACACAAAGAGGTTGATGGCTGCTGAAGGCTACATTGTATATCCACATAATTGAAGGTATACTCAGAGAGTAGCTTTTCATGTACATCCTACACAAATTATACAGTTGATTATCCCCACTTACTTTAAGAAATAAATGGTACATTATTTTGTATCTTGACTAGTCTTGCCTAAGCCTATGATCTCGTAGAGCATCTGGGTACTGCTCAAGAAGGAGACTTCCCCCACTAGCAGAGGTCAAAACCAGGGAAAAGAGGCCTCTGCTGACAGGGAAGAAGGAGGCTTGAGGGCCTAGGAATAGGAATAGGAATGCAACGTTTCAAAAAAAGATGAGGCAAGGGAGCCCAAGGCAAGGTTATCTTCACAAATCACGATGCATTTTTCACTGGTTTGGAATTTGTACGTTTAGGTGTTCTGTTCACATGGAACCAGCTGCTTAGCTGTTCAGAGTTCTGTGTGAAGAGAGGGAAAATATTGAATAGTACTGTGTGAACGCAGGGTGCGATCATCCAGTGCCAGGTGAACTTAGCCATGAGGGGTATCCAGGGTGGAGATGGAAGAATTCTCTGTTTACTACGCTGAATTCTCTGGCTAATGTTTGGTAGCCTATGACTACTTTTTATGTTAAATCTTTCTCCTGCGACGAGAATTCTTAATGGCAACCTTGTAAATCCTGATTTCTTCCCAGTTAGGCTTTCAATCTTTATAAGCTTGCTCTTAAAAAGCTATCCAATGTGACCTCAGTGTTTTCAGAGGATTAGGCTCACACCGGTTATACGTTCATGCTAATTGCTGTTTTCATTTATACGATAAATAAAACAACACTTTCCTGTTTAGCGTACACACACGTATGTACGTAATGTTTACACTGCCTCGATCAACAAATAACGTCTTCAACCGATGATATCTTCAACTTGTCAGAAAGCAGGATCCTGCTTTCTGACCATTTGAATAAATCATCGGTTGAAGAAGTTATCGTTGATCACACTAACGGCCTTTTTATTATGCCAGAGTTACCTTAAACTTGACCTTACCGATTAAATACCACTCGGTATTTGGACTCCATTTCTGCAGGGTTAAAATCCAACAGCAAAAGATTTGTGAAAGTGATCTCCCTCAAATCGAGATGGTTCGGCATAATCCCTACAGGTTTCGCCATACCCAAGTCGTTCATGGTACTTAAAAAAGAAAACCATAAGCAACAAGAGAAGCAAAAAACAGCTATAACGTAGAAAATAAACTCAAAACAATATATAACTTTACAAGCGAAGAATAATGATTTCGCGCCACAAAGCGAAGCCAATTTCTACTTAGATACCAGCTCAGCTCGGAAGCTAGGGACCCAAGAAGTCTGGTATCCACTGTAAACATGGCGGCACTGTTGTGCAATCGTGTCGTTCCCTTTACACGTATATTTGTTAGAAATAAGAACGGCAAAAGCTTATTTTCTGATGTAGCGACATCCAAAAGACTTTTAAACACCACCTTCTGGCGTTATTGCAGCCAAGGTGTTCATGGCGAGGATACAAAGAAGGTGACCGAGGCTCCCGAAACTCAACAAAAGTCTCAGAAAGATTATGGCGACATTAATGAAAAAGAGGTGCCTGCTGAAGAGGATCCTTACGCTCCGTTTCCAGATGATGTGAACCCAGTTACAGGGGAAAAAGGTGGGCCAAAAGGACCAGAACCAACCAGATATGGAGACTGGGAAAGAAAAGGAAGATGTATAGACTTTTGAAAGACATCAGTAATATTTTCATGTATGCTACTGTTTCATCAGTTTGTGGCTGTATATACAGACACTGCTCTGCACATGAACAAATACCGTATACTTTACGACTTTAAAGACTTACAAATCTGATACAACTGTTGAAGAAACTGATTGCAAACACAAAATGGATCAAAATCCACCAATCACAAATGACCTTTTGAACCCATTAAAGTATTACAAGTTTTGTTTTCCAAGAGGTGCGTTAAGATGATTGACGGCAGCAAAAAACGCAATCGTCAGTAGGCTATTGAACTTCAGAATTTGGTGGTAAATATCTTATCAAGGGTCATCAAACTTATGTAATTTTGGTTAAAACAATGAAGGAGAAGTTAATAGTAACTTAAACCTTCTTAAGCACACTTAATCTACAATCAAGTTGACAAGATGGAAAAGATAGGTAAATAACAGGAAGACAAGTGAAGACGTATGATGGGAACAAGAAATATCACAGTTTTAGTTTAGAGTGCAAACCTACTGATACTTACACTGTCCCAGAATAAATGCTGTTATTTCATGTCATAATAAAATACTTCTTTTCATTTGATTTTCTGCTGTTTGTAATGAGGCAACCAATTACCTAGACCACCTGGTCCAGCCAGGAGCACACTGTCTCAGTTTCTGCTCCTCTAATAAATCACCCCAAAAAAGGCACCCCACTAGCGAACAGGGGAGCTGTTTACAGACAAATCTTTATAAAAAAAAAATGATAAAAAAAGTTAACACTCAATTCCCGACTCTAGTGTTGGGGTGAAGAGGAAAAACAGGGTATTCATTATGCTCTATTTATATTTCAGATCTTTTTCAGAAATGATCGTTATTCCACTATCGTACCCTTATAAAGGGCATTGTTCCAATATTCCATCTCTAGTATTTCTTTCATTCTTCTTCTATTTCTCTTCAGCACACAAAGGACAAACAAATTTCATTTGGAACGTCCCAACCGGGAACAGGACTACATTTTCAGAATTTTTGTTTGTCCCAGGAATTTTCTAGTGGGACGAGCCAAAAAAGCGTTTACCATTTACATCCCAACAGAAATTTCAAGGAATTTGTGGTAAACAACCCATGACATAACTCGCCCAGTGTAAAGGAATCCGGATTCTGGAATCCGGAAATTTGTGTTTGTGGAATCTGGAATCCGGGAAAATTTTGCTTGTGGAATCTGCAATCCTAGGCTACGGAATCCGGAAGCAACTCAACGAATCCGGAATCCCACTTAATCCAGAATTATCCAAGTTCCACTGACAAATACTGGAATGCAGTACTTGGAATTCGGAATCCACAGCGTGGAATCCAGAATCCAAGACTGTCCTGGATTCCTTTACATGGGTCGACATCCTTAAATTCTGAGCGCTTCCAAATTTGGAAGCGCTAAGGTTATAGGGATTGATTAGATTTCGTAACAGTTTTATCAGCTTCCCACAATCCAATGCGTGCTACATAACAATCAAAATGGCGGATTGGGGTGAGTAAAGATGCACATGGCCCGGAACAACACAAGGGTTATTTAGTTTTAGCCTGATTCCTTTTCTCTACCTTTTAATCGTTTAAGATGACGAAGATTTTGAGCCCCAAGAGTTTGGCGTTAAACAATCAGACAAATGGGAAGGAGAAGACGAAGATGACAAGGATGTGAAGGTAATAATAACTTCTTTTAGCATCGGCGATAAAAAATTTTTGTCATTCATTTATTCAGCTTTACACCAGTACAGGAAAGACTTGATTACATGTTTGATTCTTAGGATAACTGGGACGACGATGAAGAGGAAGACACAGAACAGAAAGCAGATTCAACACAAACGGAATCCGGTAAGGAAGGACTTGGTATTTAGTAATTACTAAAATTACTTGTAATCAGCAAAATTAATAATCTAGAAAAAAGAAGTGTACGGCTTTTGTCGCCCAGCGCAACACACGTGGTCCAAAAATAATTTTTCCTAGGCAAAAATATATACATGATGGGACCATTGCGGTGAGACTATGTATGTGAATCATGTCTATAAAACACAGTTAACTAAATTATACAAGGTAAGTCTATTTTTTAAAAAAGTTTCAAGTCAAATTGCAAGTTTATTTCTGTATATTTAAAAGAAAATTTACAAAACTGCTCTACCCGCAATTAGCAGGGCTAATGTAGGCGGGTAGGGCAAAACAAGGGTGCATTACTTCCATTGGAATGATGCAGATTAGGATCAATGATCTGAGATCACTCAGATAAATTATAGCAAACCAAAGAAACCAACAAATTCACCTTGGGAAAAGAATCGTTGGTTCATTTGATGTACCATGATCTGAGTGAACTTTGATCACTCATCCTGATCAGGATCATCCCAAAGGAATTCATCTGTAGTTCCTCGTGAATTGGGACCAGAGGATTCTGTTTGTGAAGACGCCAGAGTTAAGAGATCTGATTTTAACACTAGGCCCATAGCAAGGCCAAAATAACTTGGGGGAAGCAAGTTAACCCAACCAAAGCAACCCTGCCCCCAATAAAAAATTTCCATTAGCTAATACAAGTAGGTCATAAGGGGTGCCAAGATTTATGTTAAGTAGATACTTATAGTGTTGAATTCGTGAGAATTTTCATTGATATGCTACACCTCTATGGTATACCAGGGGGATACTAAGATATGGGTGAAGATAATTTCTATGCATGTGAAGAAGTGCTTCAGATGCAGGTTTTTGTCACTGAGGGGAGAAGGGGAGGGGCAAAAAATGAAAGTCTGAATAAACGTCTTGGGGCATAAATGCATATATGAGAGTAATGTGATGACAGTATGGCATATGAATAGAAATCTCAATGCATTTGGGTGATTTGAAGGTCCGTAGAGGGAAAACGTGCTTATTTACGCAGCACGTGAATCTATTTTGGAGCAAATATGCAAGGAAAATGGTAATGCAATATTTTATGTCAAAATTATCAAAAAAGACAGCTTTAAGAGGATGTCACTTTTAAAAAAAATGCTTTGCAGCAAAGGCTCTATTAATATTTCTGGCTTTTATACTTATTTTAGTCTGTCAGTATTAAGAGTGTGTGATTGAACTTCTTTAAGAATACTCTGTTTATATAGTGCCATGTGATTAAGTTATGCTAAATATTGTTATGTGAATGTTTAAAGAAGTTCTTTTTTATTGATTTATGTTTTTCATCCTTTCTATGTCAAATGGAACATAAATAGCTCCTGCAGCTAAGGTGAAGAAAAGGAAAACAATCAAACAGAAGATACTAGAAAAAGAGGATCAAGCAAGAGAAAAGGCCCTTAAACGTGAGCAGGATAAAAAACTACAGGATGAGGTGATATCTTTTGCTAATACTAGTTTACACATGTATATTTTAGTTATTTGAAGAATATGATTAAGTTAAAGTTTATCAGAGTATCCAGAGAGCAGTGATTTTGCTTTAAAACAAGGAACAGGAAAATTTTGCATTACCACTTACAGACGTTTTCCTGTTTACCTACTGGTAATCGAAACATTTACCTTCTTGCAGGTAGCTTTCAAGTGATAATTGACTTTATTTCTCTTTTTAGGAAGAGGAAAAACCTTTAACAGAAGAGGAACTTATGGCTGAAAAGCTAAGAAGACAAAAGTAAGTGTGCTTTGTGCCCAAGTCAACCCAACTCAACTTTATCAAAAGGTGGGGGTGTGTCTAATACCAACTCAACAGTGAAGAGGGGAGGGGAGGTGTATATAATAGGCAAGGGGGTATCTGTTAGTTCAGCTATGATATTAACTAGCCAACACTTCTGAGGTATTGGTAGTTACGGATAAGTTAGTTGCCACATCATCATGATTGGCTACCCAAGCAAGCATAATGGATCTATCTTGCCTGCTTTAGATTTACCTCTTTTTTCCTGTAAGATTAAGTTTTCCTCTGTTCATAGTATTAGTTCCTTTATTGACCAAGCTTGCTCAGTCAAGATTGTGGATATTGGTGAATCTGAGGCAATACTGACTCTGCTTTTGGATTTAACATTTTTAGATTGGTGGAGGAATCAGACTTGGAATTAGCAAAACAAGCTTTTGGTGTGTTATTAATGTCTAATAGTGTTAATTTCTCTTTTGCACAAGGGTAATTCATTGTTGTGTTATGTAAATGTTCTACTCCTTCTTATTTTCTTCTTTCCAAGGTTTTCCACATTGAATTAATGCAGGTTAGTGATATCACTTGTTTGATTCCTAGGTGTAACGGATGATATACCGGTAGACACAAAAAGTATAGATGCAATGAGTCCTAGCACAAGAGAAGAATTTGTCCAACTCAGTGACTTAATTGTAGGAAAATTAACAAAATATGAGGTAAGGATTGCATAGAATCTTTTATCTTGTTGTTATCGTAGAGCACTCATTAAAAAACTGTTTGTTGAAATAATAGGCGTTTTGCATTTATTGATCACGTGATTAACTTTTGGTAAACACGAAAACAGTTAGCTTTTGAAAAATTTTGTCAGCATGAGATGAAAGAACATTTAAAAATTAGGTAACCTGTAAATTTTCAGCCATATATCTCAAAAGGGGCGATTGCAACAGTCACCGAAAATTAGAAGGATTTGTATGAGGAAAACAACTTTTGTCACCCAGTCACATTTGAATAGTTTTCCAAACAAATCCTTGTAAATTTTGAAATTTTCAAACTGTCGTGAAATATTTCCTTAAGTATTACAGGGCTCAAATCTCCTTTTCATTCGTAACAGGCACTTTGAGCCCTTAAATGCATAAGGGAAAGATTTAATGACAGTTTAAAAATGTCAGAATTTACAAGGAGTTGTATGGAAAACCACTCAAGCGTGACTGGGTGGTAAGAGTTGTTTTCCTCATACAAATCCTTCTAATTGTCGGCAGCCGTTGCAATAGTTATACACCTGAAAATTTACAGGTTCCCTAATTTCAATACACTCTTTCTGCTCGTGCTAACAAAATTTGTCAAAAGAAAACTGTTTTCATGTTTATTGAACGTTGATCATGTGATCAACTAATGCAAAAGGCCTGTTGGTAACTATTAGTATGTTTAATCTGACATTAATCTGACAAGCGCGGATTATTCTGTGCATATGACACCATGGACAAAAATGCCTCTTTCATGAAGGGAATCGTTCTCAAGGTAGCTTTTAGCCTCGTTTTCATGTTTGACCTGTTGTTTTCGAGTCTACTGAATTTTTTTCATGTAGTTGTCTTTGATATATCACTTGAATTTCCCAGTTTTTCATCGAACTTTCAATTTAAATGTCCTGAAGGGTATTTAAAAATGACGTTTTGGTACATTAGCCTATCATTGAGTCATTTTTCGTTTAAAATTGCTAAAATATTCAGAGAGGGATGACAACATGGCCGGGAGACGAACACGATCTTACACAGTATTTGTTTTAGAGCCTGAAAACAACAGTTACACTTGTAAAAGTTCTATTAAATTGACCCCTCCAATGAAAAAAAGATATTTATTTACTCACTTTCCTTGTTCATTTTCAGTCTTGTACAGAGTATATTCCATTCTTGGAAATGCTGTTTAGAGATTTATGTGCTGGCTGTGAGTAAAACTTGTTTGAATATATTTCACTTATCTTATACAATCTATAACCACATTGAATTCTAACACTGAAAACGGCTGCTGTTTTACTGACCAGTAGATAAGGTTGACGTAAAACTAGAAAGGAAAATACAATAAAGATCTTAATTACATGCGACGAGAAATGTACTAAGTAAACAAATACGAATACAAACTTAACTAGAAAATTACAACAGGCGAAATAATAAACCAAATAAAAGAGGAAATGAAAGAAAGACTTATACCTTGTGAGCCTATTATAAATTTGTCCTGAAAAACCAAAACAGATTGCTGAACTAGCGAGCAAAGTAATCTCTGACCGCCGAGCTAACGATCATCCAACTTAAAATAATGGCTTGGTCACCTGACTCCTGGGCTGGCTAGTAGCCACACAATCTCTATCCTTAATGTTCAGTTACAGCCTGCTGTAGGTGGTAAATTAATGAAAATGAAATGTGTTTTTATTCTTCTTTCAGTGGAAGCTGAGGATGTTAAAAGATTAGGCAGTGCAATAAATATTTTGTCATCAGAGAAATTAAAAGCCCAAAAGGTGAGCCATACATTTGATAACAGAAAAAGGTAAAGTAATATAAGAAAGGGGAGCAGTTTCCTCCCCCAATTTTGACCTGGGTTCAATACTGAGCGACAACGTCATACAGTTTATGTGTGTTGAATTTGTTGTTGGTTCTCTTCGTTGCTCTGGCAAGTTCAGTTTCTTTGGGTACTCTGGCTTTCTCTTCTCCTCAAAAACCGACATTCTAAATCCGGATTAAATCTAGAAATTGTTGCCAATTAGCCACAGCTTTATCAGTTCTTTAAGCTGTCATATGACACCTTCACTAAATAATGATGGTTTACCTTCAATCAGCAACAAAATTGCCAAGACATTGTACTAAAAAAAGGTAACTTCAGAGAACAAAACAATCCGCACCCCTCCCCTCTCCCCTTCATTCAAAGTTGGGGTGTTTGTTGTTTTCTTAAAGGTAGCTTGAACAGTGGCACAACATTACATGGAGGGGATGAGGGAGGGAAAGCTTTATTTTATCCTTTTGAAGTTGTTCAAATGTCTGAAAGGTCCTTTATGGCAGAGTGCCTCAACTAATTTTGTTGGCGATTGTTTGTCATTAGAAGTATTCTCACTGATAGTGTTATTCTTTTTTGACTCACCATTTAGATATTTTTTTGCAGGCCAAGAAAGGTAAAAAGTCTGCTAAGAAAGCAACTTTAGCAGGCACCAGTGCCAAGGCTGGCAGAAAAGATGATTTGGATGCATTTGGTGGAGGAAATTATGATTACGGTGATGAATTTGATGACTTCATGTGACACTGACTTGGACAATCAAAGAGAATAAAGTGAAAATTAACAAACAATACATTCAAATTATAGTATTGTTTGCTGAAAACTTTAATGTCAACACTGAGCTAAGTATAGACACTTGCTTCACTTAGGTCATGGGACAGAGCCTGTAGCATGTTAGTGTGCTACAAATGAATATTTTAAAAAGTGACCCAGCTAATAATGAATCTCACTGGAAAAGCTTAGCTTCCAAATATTTAAGTTAATAACCCAGAGCATTGATCAATAATTTTCAGAGTAATGTTATGTGTCCCACACACACTACTTTGGACATAGCTGATCTTTTTTAATTGAAGGGAGGATTTGTCACATCTGGCCAGAACTCTTACTCTCTCTTCTCTTTATGATGGACACAGCTGGGACCAGTGCTAGGGGTCCATCTCTGGGGTGTACCCAGCCTTTTTCAAGGGGCAAGAAGGGGTGCAAAATATCTGAAATGGTAGCTTACAGGCTTGTGTGCATGTACTAGTCGTTGGAAAACAAGCTGTTGTTAAATATGCCATCTTAAAAGGTATAGAATACCACGGTAACATTTTCATTTACATTTTGAAATCTTATGTGCAAGAGCAAAACCCCCTTGAACACTCCCTCCCGTTTGTACTCCCCTGTGTATTCCCCTGATCTTGTAGCATGTCTGCCTTAAAGAGAGTCAAAGAATATGACTGAGAAATGGCAGGGACCAACTCCAAAATGTCCATCATGTGGAGTTGGGAGAGTGACCCTTTTTTGTGGGCAAATAAAAGTAATCATATTACTTTAATCTGCTGATGCTAGTTGAAATCTCAAGTTGGACCTTACTTCATTTCCAGTTACTTGTGATTGTTTATCTGGAGATATTAAGGGGCCAAGAAGGGGTGAGAGGGCAGCTGAATTACATGCATCATCTCCTGTTTTCACTCTGTCCTTGTTTCCATCATCCCCAAATTGAGCTTCACATCTTAGAAGAGTGTGTAGAGGAGGTAGAGATGGACCTACTGAAGAAGCAGGTCTTCTTTATTTTTGGTCGTTTTTGATAGATGAACAACACTTTAACTATTTCCAGACCCCCTCATGTCAGGCCAGATGTGATAATTTGCCTCAAGTCATTACAAGATACCCATGTTTTCAGACTTAGCAATGCAAAGAGAAGCTATGGAGAAAATAAATCTATTTTACTTAAAATATCGAGTATAGTTCCAATCTTTCCTTGCTTTTCAAGAAGAAATCAAGAAACGTATCTGAACATAGTTTGGAAGCATGTTATCTTATTCTCATCAACAACTTCACTTTGTCAAGACATCTTAAATATATAGTCTTAGTTTTCTATGAAATCAATAAAGTAAAGTGAACTGACTGTTTGTGTGTAGTTTATATCTGAAAGCTCTTAGTTTAGTTGAGAATGATCCTGACTGTTGAAGCTGACTTTTTTCTCTTTATCAAATTAATGGGAAACAGTACGTTTTTGTTCATTACTTTGATTAGCAGCTTTGACATTCAAAGTAGACAGACTGCAAATTATAGTAGTTGCTAAAAAATATATCTACGTGTCCCAACTGTTCATCAGTAGGATGCCTAAAATGCGTGCAATTCCACAATTGGTTTTGGCAGAGAACATCTGTCACAAAAACTAATTTAAAGTTGTAATATTGCAACATACAAATGAGATCAAAATATTAGTTCTGTAAATTGGAGAAACACTAGAGGCATAAGTGAACCATAATTAAGATGGAAGAGATAAGAAATTTAGGCTAAATCTTTTAAGATGCAGAAAATGTGATGTAACTGCTGTAAGAACAAGCTATGCTTAGTTGACCACTGTCAAGCTTAGAAATGCCCATGTCTCTCAAAGAGGAAATGAAGCAATCCCACAGGGTGGGGGTGGGGATAAACAATATTCAGTCAATGATCCACAGGAAAACAAAAAATCCAAGTTCTTCCAAAAGAGGGCAATCTTCAGGTTATTGGTCCAGATGGTCAGCTACCACTGAGCTACAGAAGACTTGGAGGCGCTTTCTTTTTACTAGGGTCATGCAACTCTACTAGTACTGGGTTCATGTTGATAGCTGGTGTATCTGTATAGTGAATAGATACATGTGGTTGTTAAACTGCTGAAAGAAAGTGCCTACCCCATGATTGAGTTTATTGACATAAAAGACAATAGTTGCCATTCTACCATATAAAATTAATAATTTATATGGTAGAAGGGCTACTATTATTAGTAGTACTATTATACTATTATTAAAGCAATTATTGCTTTAATTCCCATCAGATCCTGAACAGTAGATGAGGAACCACATTGTGGGTGTACTACCATACATTAAATCATTATTTATTTTTCCAGAAACACTTCAAAAGGAAATGGTAGTTTCTTGAGCTGTGAGGAAAAACAATGTGACACCCAATTCTAAGCACTCCTTTATCCTTGTGTAATGTCTTCTGATGTTCACATAACTCGACATTGCAATGCAATTCAATTCCATTTTCTTCTGTAGCATTCATTTCTGATATATAGATTTCCTGGTGTTGGAAAATCAGTGTAGAGTTGTTGAAAAAATAAGTCATCGACCAGAGAGTAACCAGTGCGAAACTGTTTTAATGTCTTAAGGGTCATGTTTAACATTAACACCTCCATAGCTTTAAAACATGGAAATGTCAAGTGAACATAATTTTTTTAACTAAATGTCTTAACACATTCTTGTAGACTAAGTGACAAGGCAATCCTTGGAACATTATCATAATAACCATAATAAAAGAGACAAGTTCTGTTTTTATTGTTTGCTATTTCTTTTTTGCATATACCATGTTCATGGGGTTTTCTGGGGATTTCATCCATTCTTTTTTGAGTAATTGTTTCAGTTGTGATAACCGTAAGTTAGGATTTTCTTCTTTAAGCAGAGGAAGTTCACGCTCTTCATACGCATTATAAGCAGCTTTCATTCTCTTTTCTGGGTGTTTATCCACAGGTGTTTCAGCAACTTTTAACACAGCTATAGCATCTTCCACAGAGCGTGCTTCTACAGCACCTTCTGCTGCCATCAATGCAGCTACCATCTGGTTAGGATTTTCATCCAATAGGTCTTCTTTCTCTTCCTCTTCTTTTTGGCTTTTAGCAGCAGCTGCAGCAGCTTGTGCTGCCTTCCTTTCACGTTCAGCTTGTATAGAAGCCACTGTCACCTTTGTAGGAATACTGCTAGCTTTTGACTTTAATTCACTCTCCTCTGCCTTGAGAGCTTCCTGATTGGCAGCTTTGCGTTGTGTTGCATCAAGACGTTTACGCTCTTTATCCTCCTGGTGAAAAAAAGCAAAAACATACATAAATTTACTACATCTAGTTTAAAATCACTTGTTCTTGGCTTCCAGCCAGTATACCTAAAAGGCAACTGTCATACAGCTATTTCAAGAAAGGATGTCGGAAAAAGTGCACGCGACAATGCCGAAAGGTATTGTGGGTGGTTTTGAGTTCACTGTTCTTCAAAGAAATTTGCAAGAATGGCACTAGAGGCCATGGACTTACGTTTGTAATTGCTAAAGGAAAGAAACAATAGTATTGATCATATCCCATATTACCTTTCGGGATTGTCGCGTACACATTTTTTCCGACAACCTTTCTCGAAATACCTGTATACATGAGTTTAACTTTGTGATACAGCTGTAATTTAATTGAATTTGGCACGGGTAAAATCTACGTATAATTACTAACGACTAGAATTGTCAAAGCCCTTTTTTCGTTTTTACTTTTTAATCTTCAGTAATTTATCTGCTTGAGCTCAAATTTAAGCTTCTGTTATGACCGGCAGGCTATTCTAAGTCTTAATGTTACGTGTCTCCCGAAACAAGAAGAAGGCAAGACGTGTCCTCTAGATTTTCTTCAGACAGGTAACATGTCAAAACACAGCTGACAACAAACTAACCTTTCTTTGCTGTTTTCTCATAACATGTTTGTCGGTATCTTCCCAATATTTATCCTCTTCTTCCTTCTCCTTCCGCTCCCTTTCAGCTGCTTTTGCTGCCTCTTTACGTGACCTAGCTTCTTCAGCTTTTGTATTTACCCCTTTAAATTTCTTAGGCATCCTAAATTCTGTTTTTGTGGTAATAAATTATGAAAAAAGGCTGCTTCTACCATTGAAAACACAACAGTTCAGCTTCGTGCTGGTGCAATAACAGCTTTGTAGCCAGGCCTGATAAGGCAACATGGCGGTCCCAGGACCAAAGTTCTCTGAGCTGAAAGTCATAACAAGGCACCGACTGGTGGAAATTTTGGAATCGGTAAGTTACTGTAAAGAAGAAAGCAATATTCAGGGGCAATAGATTTTCGCATATTTTTTATGCCTGTCGAGATCTTTAAGTAAAGCTTGATGTGTCCCAGGTCTAGTCGGCGTATTTTCAGCTTAATTAATTACTTTTACTTTAATAAGCTCTATAATTTCTGGTTTTTGGTGATGCTTTTTCAAAGTATATTTGCTTGCCTTGTTTTTTTTGTTATTCCTTTTTTATCTATAACCAGAATATAACCCTCAAGGGATGTGAGATACATACAGTACATGTTTACATTTCAATTTCTCTTGGGAAACAGCTGACAGGTGTACAATCGTGCATTTTACAGTTACAGAAAGAAACGAGGCTGGAATTGATCTAGTTTTGATACAACCCTTCTGCTTTCTTATGCAAATCTTGTTATTTTAATGCTAACTAGTATTTTTCTGACAATTTTCATAAGAAAACAAAGGAGGTTTGTATCAAAACAATTAGGTCAAACTCAGCTTCACATTCACTCGAAGGCTAGGGTACTAAGCCCACATGGGGGTCAGATTATGGGAGACTTGATCTGAAACAGGATTAATCAACTTAAAATCATACGTTTCCCTAAAATAATGTAGGGTATTAACGGACAGTAAAAAAATTTCTTGAACTAGGCAAAAATGGACATTTCAAGAATGGGATATCATTTTGCATTTTAAAGTGGGATCCAGTTTATTGACCTTGGACATCATGCTGTCATTTATGTCCATGTCAGGGAAGATAGTTGGTTACTCTTGAAAAATATATGATTTGGGAGCTGGGTTGATTTCTGATTATGTAACGGCTTGGCCGGTGGGAAGGTTGAAGTGGGGAGTTGGGGTTACTGCAGTAGAGATGGTCTCAACAATTTAGTTCTTCAGAGATTGGAATCTCAGTAGACTCTCAAGATGATTACAGGAATAGCTGTTAGCTGAAATCAAGGAGGGTTTTCAACATGTTACTCTAGCTATGTGGCAAGCAACTGATAGTTAGTCATATGAAATTATTATAAATGCTGAAAATTTTGAGAACTTTTTCTGCCACCCTAATTTTGGTTTTATTTTTTGAAGTAAAGTATTACATTTTAAAGTATTTTTTTCTTCTCTTTATTGCTAGGTACCAGAAACCAAAGACCTTGTGATTGATCCTCAGTTAATGAAACCTTTGGACCATTTCACTGGAGCATCATTCCTGAAGGTCTTTGTTCTTTAAATTTAAGTGTGGGGAATTTCTGCTTTTAGTTAGTTTAATAATGGACACCTCACTAAAATAGACACAGAGTTAATCCCATCCATTCTTTAGTGATCTTGATCAGACCAAGGAAGAAAGGAAAGAAGGGAGGGAGGGGAGAGAGGGGGATGGTGAAAGTTATTTGTTGAATTAAGAAATAGATGGTATTATATAAATTATTAAGCTAAATGATAACAATGAAGCTAATAAATTGGCAGTGGAAAAATGAACCACTAGTACTTGGTAGACCAAAAAATGTAGCTGAAGAAAGGAAAAAGGAATATAAAAACAGATACAGTGTATAAGAAGTTAATGGACAAACATGCTTTGTAGATTCAAACCAATCAATTTTATGTCATAATTCTGTTTTAGGAACGTGGGGTAAATAAGATCTTTAAACTTGAAACTGATCGCCTTGATGTTGGTGGAAACATGTAAGTTGGTGACGTACAAAATTTCAGCATTATTTTAGTGAAATTATGTTTCTCCGTTATATAACAAGTAAATATTTATGAGGGAACAGTGTGTATTGTTGGTAGCTTTTTGTTATGATAGAAGGTAAATTTACTTTCCCACCTTCAGTTGCAATTAACACAAAAGATCAAAAAGTCAACTGCCTGAGGACAAAAAGACATAGTTTTACACTTCAATATTTGTAGGAGAATATACTTGCTGAGACCAGAGTTATTGTTAACCAAGTATATTGCAGGTAAGAGGAATTTTTTTTAATTTGAAATCTGCATGCGTGCCTAACATAATTTGTAGAACTAATAAATTAGCGTCAGTGCTTTCATGCTTTTTTTTGCTTCACTTGGTATGCCAAGAGGTTTGCTGTCGTAATTAAATGAGCTCTTGAATAACCCCTGCTGCCATTTAAAGATATTGAAAACTTCATTATTTTTGAGAAATCATTGGTAGAGAAAATTCTGCATCAACTCTAATGCTCTTTATAACCACAAATTCAAAATTTTCTTCTCCACAGATCACATTAACAATGACAAAAAAAATGGGAAAAGCAGATCATATAAAATTGTGTTTGTTCCTAAAAAGGTGAGTGATATTAGTCTAGAAATAGACCATGATATTGAATAAATGGTACAGTTCAATGTTGAAAGAATATCTCAGGTCCTGAAAGATTGCCTCTTATCAAACTTACATGCACAGTGACTGTGGAATAACGGTACTCATTCATGCATGCCATTCTTAGAGGTGGTCAGTTGATATTTCATATCCTGCAGTAAACATTTTACAATGTTTTAAAATTAAACTAAGTTAATTTTCCTGGGAAACATTTTCAAAATTTGGTGTCCATGGGGGTGAGGGGATGTTGTGGAAATAGATATCAAGTAGATATCAAGACTGTATTCATTTGTTCAAAAGATGGATGGGTTTTACTTATCCAGTGAATAATGCAAGTGGTTTATTCCCTTAACACTTGTTTATATGATCATTAGTTGAATAGAAATGTTTTATTTTCAGTTATGTGTGTGTGAGATGATTTTGGAACAAGAAGGAGTGTATGGAGGTGATGTTACAGATCATTTTACTTACTATGACCTCATTTTTCTCATTTGATTAATTTTTTTTTGTGAATAAAGGAAACCTTACTAATTATGTTGTTTTTTCATTTTGGTGGCATGAGCTTTGATCTCAAAGAATTGTATATTAGACCATAAGTTTTTTTGCTGGATGAGTTTACTGGTTATTCCTTTATGCATCAAAGCAATATTGCCTAATTCTGCTAAAGATGTACATGTTCAGCTAATTAAATTAAATAAATTTTTAAAAAATATCCACTTTTCTACTTGTTGAATAATCAGCTTGATTGGACATGAATGTGGTTCTTGCATGAAACATTCTTCCCTTTGAAGAAAACTCTGCACCAACTGTCAGCCAGAAATTAATTGCCATGTTTGCTGAACTCTACCCACCAATAGTTATGAAAACTTGTAACAAGTAAGTTTTGTTCCCTTTTTGTCAATGGTAAAGGAATGGCTGAGCCTACCAGTGACCATTAACACAGGGAATGACTTTGGATTTCAGATTTATCTTTTGATGAATTTCAACTAGAATTTATACCTTTGGATGAAGATGTGTTGACTTTAGAGATGCCTAGCTTTCTCAAAGACTATTTTCTTGTAAGTACACATTATATTTATCTAGTGGGTTGCTTTCAGTTGTGTCTACAGTCTTCAGTTTTGTTATTTCATGATTTTTTCCAACATTACCAATAGAGATGTAAGGGGGACTTTCTAATATTTATTATCAGTAAAACCTCTTCAGATTCCATCATTGTCTTCAATGAAAACATCTAGGTGAGTGTATGCACATAACAGCTTCGCAAGATTAGTTACCACTCACAGGTCGGCGTCTACCTTGAAGGATATGGTCTGCATTTCGTTAGAGTGTTTGTTTACTGACCGCAGCTCAAGGCATGAAATTAGGCCAGACATGGAGGAACCACAGGCGTATCGTTCCCAGGCTTTTCACGTTAATTTTAGCCTGTGTGGCAAGTGTGAAAGGGGCAAGAGGTAGAACATTGAGGTGGAAAAGTGAGAGAAGACTCTCTAACTCCCTTTTTATTTTTAAGCCCCACTCCTATTTTAAGGCTACTGTTACTAGTTTGAGGTAATTAATATCCTTTTACCTACCACTGGCCCCTTATTCGTCATATTTTTTTCTGAATGTCTTGTGTTGTTTCAGGAGGGTGATCAAACATCTGTCTCATTTGTGGCTCGTTCCCTTGTCACATTGCAACAGCTTTATGGTACAATACCAACTATGTATGGATTAGGAGACTGTGCAAAGGTGTGTACCAACATGTTGGGAAAGAAAACTTGGCCATTTGGGCTTTAATTCAAGTGAACATGTGATGGTCGTAGTCGTTGAGCATGTCAGGTTGTTTGACTGACAGCTAGTGATTCTCAAAGCCGTCCTGGTCATCGTTGTCAATGTAGTACATTGTAATAGTTGTGGTTTTTGTTTGCACCGTGGTCGTTGTGGTCTTCGTGCATGTTGTGTTTGTCTGACAGCTTTATAGAACATGCTCAGCCTTCTATGCGAGTTGCTGGCTTGATGTGGTAACTAACTGTCCTGCGCACGATATGTTTTAATTTCCTCATTTTTGTTTTCCTTTGATGTATTTTGACCATATATGTTTCAATTTGAAAAATAAAGCTCGCTTGATGTATTTTGACCATATATGTTTCAATTTGAAAAATGAAGCTCGCTAACCTTTCTGCCCGCAAAAGTACAACAAAATTGTGATGATGTAAACAATTTGGAAAGAATTAACAAAGATTTTCCTCATGTATCTACATTGTATCTATGGGCCGCAGTTTCAGTAAGAAAGTTGCTCAAAGCGCCTTCATCCTGTAGTTCAGGGGCTGATTAATATGATTTTTACCTTGCAGGTAGTGGGAGAAATAACCAAAAGCATTTTAGCTGAGGAACCTAGCCCTACACCTAACCCTGTGGGTGGATCCGAAATCAGTTNGGTTGTTTGACTGACAGCTAGTGATTCTCAAAGCCGTCCTGGTCATCGTTGTCAATGTAGTACATT